TTTTTCGCGATTTTCAGGAAAACGGTACGTTTTACTATCTACAATTTTTAACTAAGGTTATTTTATGATAAAACTTACCGTTTTGTTTTTTTTTTCAATAATTCATGCTGACGGATAAAGAAACTATGATTTAGATTTAAAATAATGAACAAACGTCAAACAGTTATGGAAAGCAAAAGAATGGTGGAATTGCGTAACAAATACTTGAAACAAATAACTTAATATAGACAAGAACAACGGCATATTTTATATTTGGACGAAACTTGGTATGACACGACACGGTTACAGAAGAGTGGACTGATGGTTCGAGAATGTGTATGCCTAACATGCCTGCAAACAAAGGATCGCGACTAATCATTGTGCATTGCGGATGAAGTAAAGGATGGGTTCCGAATTCATTGTAATTATATGGAAAAAATTTGAGGACTGCAATATTGACTATCGTAAGAACATGGAAGATAATATTTTCGAGGAATGGTTTGAAAATACATTGATCCCATTGCGGATAGTGTAATAGTTCTTAACAACGCTTCCTATCATTCGCGACAGCTCATCAAAGTACCGAATAAAAATTCGAGGAAAGATGAAATACAAAGTTTTTAATGGATAACAATTTGTATTTTGAAGATTACTATACCAAAAACCAACTACTTGAAGTTTTACAGACAAAAACATTTGAAAAAGTGTATGCCCTTGAGAGTATTGCTGAAAAGTATGGACACCATACTGATACTTTCCCCCTATTTTTGTGTTTTCAATCTCATCGAGTTGATTTGGGGAAAATTGAAACAAAGCATCATGCGTAGAAATAATTTTCCAAAATTTGATAAGAGAATAATAGAGCTAATTAAAGAAAAAGTATCTAAAATTACCGAAGAAGACTGACAGAAAAGGATAAAAAAAAGTAATTTCAGTTAAAAAAAAGACAATATGGAGATTGGACACTTCCATATTACCTAAACATAGTAAATTAAATATTTATTGACATATGGAGCTACATAAACATAACACATAACATTAAAACGGGCAAAACTCTTGGACCTCAATGTTGCCGGGGCTCAAAATAAAAGTGAGACCTTTCAAATACGAAAGGAGCCGGTCCTGGGCCATCTGCCCCTGACGATAGGCATTACAATTCATCGAGGCTAGCCGACATATTACCTTGCCATACTTTTCCGAATAGAATTGAATAAAGCCGTCGGTGAAATTATCGCAAAACGTGGCGCGTCGACCACCCTCAGAATACTATATCGGCGCGAATCAGCTGTTTTTGCCGATGATGACACAACTTGTGTGTGACGACGTAAAGTGAATAATAAGCATTAGTCAGTCGGTACTCGACGAGATTGATGTGTACTCATTAGTTGGTTCGTCGGATATCGAAGCAGAATACACCGGCGATAGTTCGAGTCGGACATTGTGTTGAAAAAAAGTGTAAACATGAAGTTTAGAAGATATAAGATTGTAAGTTTTTTTGGGGCTCGGAGAAACTTGTTTTTAGCAAGCGTTAACAGCAAGTAGTAACGGCAACCGTAGGGTAGTTGTAATTTGAAGGGGGGAAATAGTGTTTTGGCTAGAAAAAACAACCCAGATAGGAATCTCTTTCCTATCGGAATATTTCGATCAAACTTCGTAATTTCAAACTCTCTTTTTACGTTAACATTGCCACCAATGCAACCCTTTCGAAGGGTAGTTTACTTTTGGGATGTTTTCTAATATTTTGCTGACCAAGGTCTTCCCATCGGAATACGAGGTTGGTATGAAAAGTTCCCGGCCTAACAAAGATACAAGATATTTTTTAGGATTTTTTTTTCAACATAGTGTCCTTTACACACTTCTCCCATCGGTGCTCCCATCTCTGTAACCCGTCCAAATAGTACTCGGCGTTTTTCTCCGCAAAATAATTGTTCACGAAGGTGATTGCCTCTTCATTTGACGAAAATATCTGTCCTCCGAGCGCAATTTTTATATAAGAAGTCGCTTGGGGCTAGATCGGGTGAGTAAGGCGGGTGGTCAAGCAGTTCAAACCGTAATTCGTGGATATTCGCCATGGCAACAGCTGAGATGTAAGACGGTGTGTTGTCTTGGTGAAGCAGGTTTTTCTTTTTCTGAAAGTGTAGCCTTTTTTCTGCAAGTTCTGCCTTCAGCTTGTCAAGTAATGATGCGTAGTATGCTCCTGTAATGGTCTATCCTTTTTGAAGATAATCGATTAAAATAACTTCATTACTATCCCAAAAAACATTCGCCTTCACTTTGCCAGCCGAAAAAACAGTTTTTGCTTTTTTGGAGCCGGTTCCCCTCTGCAGTCCACTGTTTGGACTGTATTTTTGTTTCGGGCGTATAATGGTGTATCCAACTTTCCTATACAGTAATTAATCGGCGCCAAAACGCGGAGCGTTGTCAATTCAACCTTGTTCTAAATTTGGAAAGATACATTTTGAATTGCAGAAAAGAAGACGGCGTTTCTTATCTCTTCAATACATATACAGTGATGTGATACATACATAATACGAGTACTTGGCTCATTTAAGATATGGTTATGTCTCCATTTGTAAGATATATACGGTTGGTGAGAGATTCAATCAACAATAACATCGAATAAATCGTCCATTAAATTTTTTTAGCTTCGTCATTACCCTAATCTCACATGCATAATGTTTTTTCTACATTTATCTATTGGTTACTGGAAAAAACCCCGGTAAGAAATCTGGCAGCATAATGAGTTGGTCGCTATATATATAGTTCTGTTTGTATTTCAGCCCAGTAATATTCACTAATAACTATAGCCCAGTAATATTCCTTCATCTCTGAACTAAAAATCTCTATTCGTAGCACAATACGCTGCATGTCGTCCATAGTTCTTTTCTTATTTCAGCCCAGTAATATTCAGCCAAGTAATATTTACTAATATATAAATTACAAATTTTGATTTGTAGTTCAGTAAGTTGTCTGCTTTTCATAGTTCTGTTATGTCATTTCAGCCCAGTAATATTCACTAATCTCTGAACTAAAGCCCAGTAATATTTACTAATATCTGAATTGCAAATCTTGATTTGTAGTTCAGTAAGTTGGCTGCAGTCCATAGTTCAGTTGTGCCATTTCATCCCAATGATATTCACTAATCTCTGAAATATATCCCAGTAATATTAACTAATATCTGAATTACAAATCTTGATTTGTAGTTCAGTAAGTTGGCTGCTGCCCACAGTTCTGTTGTTTCATTTCAGCCCAGTAATGTTTACTAAAATCTGAATTACAAATCTTGATTTGAAGTTCAGTAAGTTGGCTGCTGTCCATAGTTCTGTTATGTCATTTCAGCCCAGTAATATTCACTAATCTCTGAACTATGTCCCAGTAATATTTATTAATATCTGAATTACAAATCTTGATTTGTAGTTCAGTAAGCTGGCTGCTGTCCTTAGTTCTGTTGTCGTTTCAGCTCAGTAATATTCAGTCAAGTAAGAATCACTAATTTCTGAAATATAGCCAAGTAATATTCACTAATCTCTTAACTAAAAATCTCGATTTGTAGTTTTGTAAGTTGTCTGCTGTCCATAGTTGTGTCTTGTCATTTCAGCCCAGTAATATTCAGCCAAGTCATATTCACTAATCTCTGAACTATAGGTCATTATTATTTACTAATCTCTGAACTATAGCCAAGTAATATTCACTACTCTGTGAACTACAAATCTCTATTTGTAGTTCAGTTGTCATTTGAGCCCAGTAATATTCAGTCAAATAATATTCACTAATCTCTGAACTGTAGCCCAGTAAAATTCACTAATTTCTGAACTATAGCCCCGTAATATTCACTATTCTTTGAACTATAGCCCAGTAATATTCACTAATCTTCGAATTACAAATTTCGACTTGTTTTTTTGTGATTTTTACACTCGTTATTATTCTTTCTTATCTACTAAACAGGGGATTTTCATTGGCTCTCTGTGCGAATCGCGGTATCTATCTTACATGAGTCCCGGGCTTTTTTGTTGATATATCGGCTCCTTTCAAATAAAATATAGGATCTTGTTTCTTCATTCGTGGGGTATTTTTAATTGTTATACTCTTTGTAAATTTCATCTACTATTCGAAGGTCCTTCTTCGAAAAGCAACGAAGCCAAAGTTTTTTGTTCGATTCTTCATTTCATGATACTTCCTGTAACATTTCCCGTTGATGTTTTGTTCGTACAGCAGTTATCTTGGATTGATAACACGAATATTCACATTTGAACTATCTGGAATTTTATCAGGCACCAAACGGAAAATATTATTACAAGGAGAGACTTTTGAACTGTTTTAACAGATTACAAAAATGTGCTGCGGTTAGAGACGATACTGTATGCCCCGATGAATTAAATTAACAGTGATATTGAGTTCTTGATTGAGAGTTATTTGTGTTTGGATTAATGTTGATTGGTCCTAAGTGATAGATAATCCTTATATAGACGATATACTTCACTAGTTGAGTTGCTATTGTTAGTTGACTAAAATACTTGCCATAGTTCATTAGAAATTCTCGCTACATCTAGAACGGCAGCGAACATCGTATATTCGCGCTCCCTTACCTACGTCACAATTGGTTTATGGCTACCAGTGGCGGCCGGCGTTATTTTCTTTAGGGCATGATTTACAACAATATCAATATAAAATAAAGTAGTTCGATATATTTCGAAATTTCTGTGGCAAAATAAACTGCGGTTTGTTGCCAAGGGGGGGTAATAAAAAAAATGGGTGAGTCTCGGGACGCCCGACAGAAGTGATCAGAGCATTACGTGCTTGCTGGTTAGAATTTTATAATACTGTCAACAGTATATGTCTATCGCACTCTAAATATTGGGCGTCTGTCTGGCGAGAGAGGAGGAGCCTGCCAGACAGACTGGCGATGTAACGCGTTAGGTAACGAAGTGGTTTACACTCCAATTAGAAGTTATCACTTCAAAAACGGCACATTTCAATAAAGAGTGTTTGAGTTCAAGTTTCAACGATTTATTTCTTTCCAGGAGGGTCCCCACAGTGTCCTAGCCGACGACGAATTCTACGATGCCGTTGAATCCGGTCTCGACAAAATGGAGGAGGAACAAGAATTGAGGGAGAGGTTGAAAAACGGTCCTGTCCAGGAATGTACCCCTGGTAGTAGGAGAATGGATACTCAAGATGTTATCTAGTAGAGCAAACACCAAAGGTTCCAAACAGTGCATCAAAAGAGCAATAAGTATCAATGTAGAAGACATCACAGTGACTGGTCATGTCCACAGGTAGGGGTTATCACCTCTTCTCTGAAACATAGTTCTGGATACCCTGATTAATCACCTCAACAATAATGGATTCTACACAATTGCGTATGCAGATGACATAGTCGATCAATCCCAAAAAGACTGAGATGGTCCTTTTCACCAGGAAAAGAAGTTTATCGGGCTTAAAACCTCCCAAAATCTTCAAAAGCAAACTAAACTTCTCTGAAGAGGTGAAATACCTTGGTATTATCCTTGACAGGAAGCTAACATGGAACTCTCACCTAACAGAGTAGAGAAAAAAAAGCGTATGTGGCTTATGNTGAATTATTGACAGTGGCATACGGTGATCGTACTATGAGTCTGAAAAATGTTTACAAGTGGTACAAGCTCTTCTCTGAATGTCGAGACGATGTGAAAGACGTCGCTCCTCCCGGACGGCCCAGCACATCAACAGCCGATAAAAATGTTCAATTCAAATTTCAAGACACTATCTAAATAATTACATTGTTACTATCTTCATTCGGGTTTGAAGGCCGTCGTAGTTTGGAACGTTTCGCCAGCACCAGTGGCTGGCTTTTTCAGAGGTCATCATCATGGAACTTTATCCTAACGCTTCGCCAGTCAGGCGAAAGAAGAAGCTGGTATTGACAGTGTGTTTTTCTAAATTCGTAAAGAAGCTTTCTGTATATTCAAAAGCGTACAAGGAAAGTTTATCAACTATGAAGCTGTATCGCTCAGATATATCAATAACAAAACGCAACGTTCGCTTTTGGGCAACAAAAACATCATTTGAGGAACTAGACAAGTTCCACAAACATTCCTCATATCGCAGTCTTATCGACTTCTGCATAATACTATGATACTAATTGATTCGTGTTAAAAGGCTTTCTGAGAATCGATAAGAAACGTTCAATTTTAGTGTCACTAGAGACAGTTGCTAATGAAAAATGATCTGTTCGAAAAGATACAATTTCAGTGGTTGTTCATCGGCGGTGAAATCTAACTGCTTTTGTTTTTTTCTACATTGATAAACATCTAAATCGCTGCATACTATCCATGCAAGTTTTTGAAAACAGCGTTGCACTTCTCTATTAATGTGCAGGGTTCAAAATGTCAACCATTATTCTTCCCCTTTTCGGACGAAATTCTTCTCGCTTTAAGCACGACGAATATCGTCTTACTTTGATCCTCGAGGAGGAGGTTTACATCAGGTTCATCAACTTGTATCAGCCTGAAGGTAGGGAATGATTAGTTCCAACAAATTCAATACCTGTCATTCCCCACGACGGATTCAGGATCCCCAGAACTCGTCAATACCGTAGGGGTGACAAAAGTGGTAATGAAGCATTTAAGAGCTGCGTTTTGTCGATGAAAGTATTGATACGTTTCCCTCGTGGGCTTGACAATAATTTGAACTGCTACACTGACACTAAAACCAAACACAGTTTGAACTCCCTCCTCTGACGATAACCACTTGGTGCTCGAAACACGTGTCGAGGTGTTAAAAATAACGGTTTGGTGTTAGGATAACACTCCAGTAATTTACTTCAACTAAAACTAATATATAAATGTCTATCGCTTTATTAGATCACTTCGCACCGCACTTTCAACTAGACTTCCCGATCTGCATGCTGGTAGTGTTTATATATGGTAATCGAGGTCTCTCGAAGCCGACATCAACAACAATCACAAAGCGCAAGTCAAGTTGAGCGCGATCTTGGCCACGTCAGAATTGGTTTTCGACGACCAGCAGCGGCCGACGTTATATTTTTTTTAGGTAATGATTCACAACAGTATGCTGTGTTTCCATAGAACTGCAGTAGTATCTGCAGCTTTCATGTGGGTCTTTTGCAGAACGGATTCCAACTCTGTGCAAAATTGTGATCACCCCGTTCAGTGTCGGAAACTGAACGGAGTTCGGACAGCTAGATTGAAAATAAAGGCCCCAATTCCTACCCTTTCATGGTCGCATTAGATTGAGTCGAACTGTTGAAGACTTTACAGGCTCCATACAGAACCTTTTTGATCCTTAGACGCTCCAAAAGTCCACGGCATCCTTGTTGTGGGGCAAGTGTCACCGTGGATGCAAACTTCTATGGAGGTGATTCATTTTTTGGGTTGTACATCGAAGTTATACAGCTCCTCCTGAGTCGATTTCACTACTTCAAAGAAGAGTAAGATCATAGCAGCAACTTTGTTCTTCCCCGACAGTTTCAAAGACCAGATCTGTCGGAGTTCGTGCTGATACTTGCCGCGGAGAGAGTTCTTCATGTATCGTGCATGAATATTTGGGTACATTGCATGAATCGGGCTTTGAATTGCTTCTGCAGCCACCGTATTCTCTAGGCCTGATCCCCATCGACTTTCCTGTTCTCAGGAAGACAAATCGTACTTTAAAAATTGCATCGAAAAATTGTATGGCCGCTGTAATGTTGTTATTTCGCCCTCAAAGCCAACCACGACGTATTCAATAATAAAATAAAATGTTTCCATGTTAACCTACGAATTTGTCAGCCAAACTGTTATATCTCTCATACATATTCCGATCGCCTTGTTACCTTCGCAGATATACTTGAGTTATTCGAATTGATAATGCCGCAATAATCGAGCCGTCGACTTTTTCGGCAGGAAGTTTTAACGATTACGAGAAATTCTTTTGGAATGCGTGCCTCCTTGATAACGATTCGAAGTCTAAAATAGGCATGTCAGGTGATTATCCTCCGTTTTAAGTTGCTTCCATAATGTTTATGGATGTTAGATTATGGCTACATCGTAATCGGTGATTAATGAAAATGTTTCGAGGGCGCTTCGGTGCGGTCAGTGGCGTTCCTAGGCCGGGGAAAAAGGGATTGAATGATGGTACGAAATGGATAGAGCAGGGGTCTACAAACTAAGGCCCGCGGGCCAAATCCGGCCCGCGACAGCCAATGATTTACTGTCATCAATCTGGTCCCCGACAGCAAATGATTACCTAATTGTTGTTACTATTGCTGTGATAAGTTGAAGAAGAAAACACAGAATGATAATTACTCGGTTTTATTTACTTGCAAGGTAAAACTTAACGACAGAAATGNGAACTTAAACTCTTTTGAGGATTTGTGGTGGAAGGATTTCCACCACAAATCCTCAAAAGGTGGAAGGATTTCCGAAATCTGGTATATCTGAATCACTATCGCATCTCTCATTTTTGATCCCGTCGTTGTAATTCAACTGAATATTAGTTTTGAAGAGAGGTTTCAACACTCATTCAATTTCCTTGGATTTTTTTACGGGTTATATGGTTATACAGGGCACCCAAAAATATACTCTTGTTATCTTGCTACTTTTCTTAATGAAAATATACCAGGGGTATCGATTAGTTTAGGAGATAATCGTTGTCAGTGAAAAAAACAAGGCTTTTGGCTTCCTCGTTCTCCATCTTAAACCAATAAATTGTCTCAAATGTTCCAAAGGATACAAACTGGTAGAGAATTCCGCGAAAGAAAAAGTTCTTTCGAAAAAACTTTTGCTGGGCATTAAAAATTATGTGGATATCACTTAGTGTGGTTGGATAACAACCATCCAGCTCTCTAAATAATGTTCACTGTCAATGTTCAACAAGTAACCGAATCGTCCGAAAATGAGCACGTTACTGCATTTGACTTCAGGGAAGGAAACTTTGTGGAGCTCTATAGAATGATATCTCAACTTTCGTACTAATAAATAGAGTTCTATGATTTTCACTATAAGGGTTGCACAAAAACCGCGACACGTGTTTCGCTATACAATAGCTTCTTCAAGCATAACTATGCTCGCATGCATAGTTATGCTTGTTGTTTGAGGACAGTTACATCGTGGTTCTGCCTAGCACCGCTGATGAAACTTATGGCCGCCCGAAACAGCGGTCTTTGCATACGTTCGCCTTCGTTCAAATTATTTTCAGCTTTGCTTTTTCCTTTCCTTCTTTTTTCTTCCTTATGTTTCCATCATTTATCTTATTGCTTTACTTTTCTCATTTGACATTTCATCTTTCTGCTCCCCCTCATTTTCAACCTTTTATTATCACAAGCGGTCTTTATTTTTCAGCTAGTTTGGAAAATATGTCGGTCATCGAAAATATATCTGAAGACACGGTAACGTTCATGCAGGTCTACAAGCGAATATGGCCGGCCAGTCAACGAGACATTGTCTTCTGGTCGCACATGAGGAAGTTACCGAACGAGAAAGATAGAGATGGGCCCGACATATGGACGGTGGTCAACAATTCGACGGAGTATCCCGAGTATCCGGTAAGTCGTGACGCTTTCGATACGTTCAACTTGAACTATTCCTTTATTTATCCCAAGGAACAAAGCTGTGTGTATGTAGGAAAAAAAAAAGTTCATTAGTCAAAAATAATTAGTGAAGGGTCTTTTGATAGTAGTAGTTCATTTCTGCAATAAAAAAAAGAGAGTGGGATGTTAATTTTATTGATTTGAACATAGTCATGTTTGACATTAACGTTTTTACCAATATTTTCATATGGTATCATTCTTTACTTTAAATTTCGAATTTGATATTGAGTTTATGTAATTTTAAAAAAGGGGTGGGTCTAATATAGATCATTGGGGCATACCATAAGTGCTAAATTTTGAAGAGCTTCTACTACTCTCAATTTTCACAAATTGTCCGTTTTCAAAATAACAAAACACAAAATTTCAATCATCGCTTCTTGAAAAGTACCAAACTAAGAACACTGCAGATTTTTTCAGGTTCTCTCCCGTTGACGAACATACTGTATAGAAGTTTATAAATAAATTCAGAAGCAACGCTGTAGGTTCGGACAGTATCTCACTTCGAATGATTCGTTTGGTGGAAACACATTTCTTGGAATACATCACCCCTATACTGAATTCGTGTATCACTTCCTCGTGTTTTCCTTCCCTTTGGAAACATGCACTTGTGATTTCCTTGGCCAAGTGTAACTCTCCGGCACATTACTCTGATCTTAGGCCCATTAGTATTTTACCTTCCCTATCTTGAACGCTTGAACTGATTCTCAAAGATCAGTTGATTGAATTCATCACTTCGTACGATATCATAACTAGCGTTCAGTCTGGGTTTCGTTCTCAACATAGTACGACTTCCGCACTCCTCCCCATAACGGATTGTATTTTCAAAGTAACCGATAAAAATTATGTTACGTGTCTAGTTTTATTAGAAAGCTTTTTGGAACACCGAACTCAGTGTATCAGCCTTGGTCACTTAAAATCTGCAGTTCTGAACGCCAAATTTGGAGTTCCACAAGGTTCCATTCTTGGACCTCTCTTATTTAACATCTATATCTCGGATTTTTACAAATGTATTGAATTTTGCAATATCCATCACTACGCTGATGACACTCAAATTTACTTATCTTTTCCGGATGGCAACCTGGAAGCACAAGAACTGATAAATAGAGATCTCAGTTCACTGTATAACGTCTCGTGCGCACATAACTTGAAAGTCGATTTATTATTATTATTATTTCTAAACCATTTCGAAACTTTTCTCTCAATACCACTGTTAGGTAAACAATTTTTTTACTAAAATCTTGTGATTGACTGTATAGAATGCTTTGCACGAATCTAAAGATACTAAGCAACATTTTTGTACACTATAATTTTTGTACGACTGATATGATTTTTTTATTTTGAAGATGGAAGTTACTTAAGTTAGAGTTTTGTTTCCAGGCCAACAACGGTAAATGTGTGCGGATGTCTCTGAAGGTGTGTTTGATGTGCCAGACGAGGGTGAATCCTCCGAAAGACGGAGCGCCGCTCTCTAGGTCGGACGTTTCATGTAAAATAACGTATTGTTCAGTTGGTGAGTTGATTGAAATCCAAATCTGTATCTTAATAGTTCGGTTCAATACTGTAATTAGCCGAGCAATTAATACTTTTATTTTAACTTTATATTACTGATTTTTCAAAGTTTGAATTCATTATTTCGTAATTTCATTTGAATAGCAAGGAATCAGAGAAGAAAGTAATAATTTACGGGAATTTTTTGAATCTTCCTAGAAATTATCTAATTTCTTGGTGATATGTTTTTGAATAAACTTCTCCAGTTGAATTTAAAATTATTGACACGATTAAAAATCGTGTTATTCTTTGTCAGTATTTTAAAATTTCTACCTGTATCATAATTTCTCTGAACCATTATTAAGAATATGACTGAGTCTTGTACATAATAAATCTGAATTTGAATTGAGCTGCTTTGTGGAAATTTTCTTTTACCGCATAACTTCTTAGATTAGGTTTTGAAAATTATGATTTTACCTCCCGTTCGTAATTGTATGTTGATTTTAAAGAAATTAGTCACTTTCAACGTGGGAACACAAAAATATTAACAACTGTTTTGTCATTGTTTTTCAGTAAATCCTGGTGGTTGGGCCCCTCCTTCAGTGTTGAGGGCGGTGTACAAAAGAGAGTATCCGAAATTTCTGAAGCGCTTCACGGCTTACGTCATCAACCAAACCAAAAATAAGCCCATCATGTTTTGATCGTCAGGTCCGGGTCTATATAATTTTAAAATGTTTTCATTTTTATTATTTATATAATTATTAAATGCTATTTTATGTTTTTGGCGTATGATTCATCTGTTCCCGACTCCCCACGTTGTTGCTACTTCCTTAAATTTCCTCTTGTAGTGATGTACGTTTCAAATTTCATCCCGCAACTGTGATTACACTTTTTGATATGAAACTTGACGAAAAAAATTTGAGTTTGAATCGAGAAGTGAACATATTTTAGAATATATTAGTTTTCGGGAAAAAAGCGTATTGGCTTTCTACTTCTCCATCTTAAAACACATGAAAGAAACTTTCCCTACATAAAATGGTATATTTTTCATAGTTCGAAAATCTTTATTCTTCAACTCCTCATCAGTACCTTTTTGATCTTGTGAAGACAAAACATGCATTTCTTGTATAAGAATACCACTTCATTATACCAAAAGAGGTAATTTTTTGTTCTTGTCATGATGACAGTTTGTATAAACATTCTAACTTTTGTTTGAAATGAAAAGGGGACGTCTTTTGAGGTAGATTAGTTTTTGGGAAAAGAGCTGAAGATGGAGAGTTACAAAGCCAAAACGCTTTCTTCTCAAAATCATCTCTAAAATATGTTGTTTTATTTCAAATGAAATTCCTGTGGCTTAGATCGAGTTAATTGACCGTATGAATGTTTTTATGAGCTGTCATCGTGATATGAGCGGAATTGCTTTTTTCGGTAGCATAAAGTGTTATGCGAAAAATGCGCGAATTCACCTTTTAAATATCAAAAAGTTGTTAACGAGGAGTTATAGACAAATGTTTTCAAACACGCACTGAATACAGTCCACTCATAAATTGAAAATTCCCCATTATGATGTATCCACTAAAATACTTTCGAAACAAACACTAATTATTTATAATAAGTTTTTATTAAACATGAAAAATATATCCCAAAGATAGACCCTACTTGACTAAAATAAATAAGGAGTATTTGCTTTCTTGCTACTAGTGGATCCCCTCCAAAGGCGAAAACACTTTGTATTGGTACAATTTATCGTCTCCGTATCCGTACAACAGCTTTCCTACACCATTCTCATCGTAGTAGGGATAACGGTATTTCGGCCTGAAATAGCAATGAGACAAGTGAGATATATTTTTTTAATGGTTTGAGAAATATTTACATTCAGCTTCATTTGGATCGTTATAGTTTATGAAGTGCTGAAAACTTTTTATCAAATACGTTTTAAGGATGTACAAAATGAAGCCGAGAAATTATTGTATGCACAAATCCGATTCTAATTGAGATTAGAGAAAGTTGAAAAGCTTGTTTTTATTATTCAATTTGACATCTGACACGAACTAAATTATTCCTGGTCTACTGCGCCAAAGGACATCAAAGACCTTGAAAAAAAAAGAGAAGAGGAAGAAGAATCTAGCGATCTTATTATCAATGACGTCACTATGAATCGTTTTTGAATACACGCTCGAATACGATTAAACGCCAGAAAACACCTCAAATGTAAGTATACAATTTGAAACCTTAAGTCTGCAACAAATGGAAACTTTATTATCCATTGGGTGTTCAGTGAGTGTTTCCTCTATCAATTATACTCTCTATGGCTGGAAGGCGGGCTGATATTGTCAATGTCATTTGTCAAGTTTATGAAATTGAATGTTAAATAAAAAGTATTCAGAAAGACAAATCATAAAAATGATTGCAATATATATTAAAGAACTCATTTGTGGCACTTTTTTACCGCACTACCCGAAGACGTGGTTATGATTTCATTAAGAAATCTCATCTTAGAATCTGTACCAGAGCCAATGTTTCGTACTGTTCGTTCATTAACGCTTGTTTCAGGAGACACGTGCTTCATAGCATCATGAAACAATTCAAATTCCATAATGTTTTCAATGGAAATATGCAACACGTGAAACATCTCAACATTGTATCTGATGTTGAGTATTTGAGTGACGTCAATGCCAAGACGTGAATCTCTTCACCTTTGTTTAGTTGTTGGAGTCAATGTTCTCTCTTCAATGGCCAGTCTATATGTCAGATGTCACTGGTGCCAACTTGACATATCACTTGAGGTGTACTCACCTCCTCTATGAATGGAATGCTGAAACTTATTGCATCTCTATTATTTTTTTTATCCAAGAGTACTGTACGCCGAGATTTTTCGACAAAATATGTTACTTGGGGAAGAGGTCTAAGTAATCACACCGGAGATATTCTATGCATCATTAAATACTGCCCATTTCATAAATTTCAGGAATAACAATTTTCATCATTGAATTTTATGAGACTCTATAATACAAAATACTGATATATGTTTCATTGAAAATTCGAAAATATGAACATCAAAGATATATTTAAGAAGAGATCTTTAACTTGCCTTTCGAAGTACTGGAAATTCGGTGCCCTCGGTTGGAAAACTGCTTCAATAAAAGCTACTCCTAGAATTATTAGAAATACCTAAAACAACAAACATCATTCATATCATATTCCAGTTAATTCAATACTGCAGATAGTGTTGATGACTGATTTTCAAAATATAGAACCATTAAAATATTACTGTGTATAGGGATTTTATTGTTGAGAACAAACACTCAAGCCACAGAAGCAGAAACAGCGATTTGACCTTGAATTTGAATAACTTCCATTCGCCAGCGCCACTCGTGGTTATCTTATGAACATTTATTAAAATCCTGCTACAACCATATTTAATTCTCAGTTATAATACAATTGAGTTCACTAATGATGCATTATCAGTAATAATGAGAAAATAACTTCAAATAATAAAAACTATCCAATCCCTAGAAAGCGACAGATATTTCAAGTTTATTGACGCCCTCTCTGTGCGAAATTTGAATTAAACAGAAGTGACGATTTATTTGTCCACCAGATACCGCCAGGAGCCTTTTATGCTGTTTGAAAATTCGGCGTTTTCAATTAGGTATTACGAAGAAACTGAAGTTTTATTTGTAATTCCAAGCAGTTTTCACAACTTTATTGGGGGCAATGAACTTGTTGAAAACAAAATATTTGAAAACAGACATAAGCGTTGAAAACTAAAGCCAAAACACAACATATTTATAACAGCTCTGTTTCGACTCACTATAGGTTTCATCATCGGTGCCATACTGAAACTATACTATATATGGTTGAAGAAACATGATGTTTCCTCATTCAATATTCTTATAAATATGTACCCTGACAGAAGTGTTATGCTTAAAGATTTGAAATCGACAATTCGTGAATCCCTGATATTTTCAAAATAATCGTACTATAACTACATGTACGACCCTGTTCTTCTCTCCAAAGATCAAATGATTCTACAGCGTTGACAAAATATATGTATGATGTTCTCTTCAGGAATTCGTGAATTTGATAACTTAAGTAAAGCATATAAACAAAAAAGATACGTCTCAATCAACCCCGCAAACCTCACTTTCTGACAAAATTCTTGAATATGGAACTCCACGTCATCTTTCTATAAAATTGAAAAATTTTCGAGCGAAGTTTCTCATATAGTATGCTACCAAGCATTTTTATCAACTGCCTCCGGAATTTATAGATTTTAATATATTCAACTCAGAAAAAACCTTGATTTTCTTCTTCTCAACCAAACTAAAAAACCTGATTTTTTGAAGATCTGGCATCCTCCATTGTTCATGATTCTATTATTCGTGTTAAATAATATTCCTTTTTTTACGATTCATCATCATGAAGTCTTCATTGTCTCAATATTGTTTCAGGTTCATTATTTGTCTGAATAATTTGCAGCGGCGGCTCGTCAGAGGAGGTAAGGGAGGCTCAGCCTCCCCATAAAATTTGAGGCTATTCATCGCAATAAATTAAAAGATATTGACAAATAATTATGATTATGTTTTCTAAAAATGATTGGGTATCATTACTTTACCATTAATTTTTAATATAAATACATAATATTCCCGAAAAAACACTATCGCTCTCTATTATGACTTTAGCCTCTCCTGTTCTCCAATGCACGAGCCGTCACTGATAATTTGTTAATTAACTTGGTAATCCTGAGTTAAGTTAAAAAACATTGCAGTGACACTTCACCTTTTCAATGAAAAGAAGAGTTATATGTTAACGTATATATGTTAACGTTCATCGATTATCCAAAAAAAAATTAATTTATTTTTCGAAGCACTGCTTCTAATTAAAATTAAATAAAAATAATGAGAGATCATTTTCCATGAATAAACTATAGAAATAATCTAATCATAAACCTGTGAACATCCGATTCATTACTATAAAAATAATGCTTTCTCCACATGTGCTTTTTGTACTGAAACTTTTCTATTTCATTACATTCAGAGTAAATATTTGTTTCTATTTAAGTATAAGATCCTCATCAACATAAATATACGAACTTTTTATTGTTGCATCCACAATTATCTTTTTGTTTTCTCCATTTCTTAAGCGCATTGATAGCATTTCATAGCTGAGGTATTTTTGAAAACGAAGCATTAATGTACCTATAGGATATTAGCGAAAGTCTTTTATACTTAAAAACGGCTGTTAAGCACTAATGTTTAGAATATGTTGATTTGAATTTTCAGTGGCAATCGGAAGCCACTATTAGAAAACGTCAGAAGAAAAAATGTTTCAATTCAACAACTAACAAGGAATGCCTGATTCAAACACAAATAATGAAACTTACCAATAACCAAAACTGGGACATTCTTGTTATTATCTCGAACACTGCTACGGTGACTGATAGACTGCAGTGAAGGTGAAACTGCTCAAGACTAGGCAGAACTTTCCTACCTCGAAGAAAGTGAAAGTGTTCACTTCATTATGAATTCTTCTTGGTCTTGTAGCAGTCCCCAGCTGAATTGTTCTTCGAGATATGTGGCTAAACCTACTCGTCTCTAGTTTTAGTAGCACCATTAAAAATTAATTGCTTCCTTAAAAAATTCTAAAGAAATGGTCCCAACTCGTTTCTGTCGATTAAACCAATTATTATACTGGGTATTCGTATTTAACTTGTTTTTATGGAGTAACGAAAAAAAAATGTAATTACTGATACGTTATTTTGGAGGTAATTCTGTTTTTTGATTCTATAGATAGAAGTGTGTCATTGAATAGGGAAATCCCTAGTAATTACAAGTAATTTCGAATCAAGTTTCTGACCGATATAAGTTCGACTTTCACAATCATTCAATATAGGGAGTTACGTTTGACATCAAACAGTTGTAGTTCGTTTCAAGCCCTTCCGTGTTTTGAGAACAGTTTCTAACAGTTTTGTTGAATTATATAAATTATATCTAAGCAAGTTTATACAGATTAACGTTTGGATTAAAATCATAGTCATCGATATACAAAGATAACGTTCGGATTAAAAGTGATACTCCAGGAAAAGTGAGCAAAAATGTTATTAGGGTTTGATACGAACAATTTGGAACCTCTGTCGTGAAACGAACATTTCTGTAACTTTCATTATTTGTAAAAAAAGAATTGATAGAATAACAAAAGTGTCACTTTTCTTTTAAGTTATGAAAATTTGGTAAGTGATGGCTTTTGCATCTAATAAACCAGACCATACAAGGTATGTTAAAAAAAATAAAGTAAATTGTCCTTGAAGGACAAGCCTAAATAAGTGAGGCAGATGACATCTTTCCTTACGAATACGCCATCTATGGGATAAACAGAGAACTCTTTCCTTGAATTGAGTTCTCTGTTGATTCAATAGATGGCGTTTTAGTAAAAGAACTGTATGGACGACACATAAAACAATTTTCTTCATGAATTCAGTTCAAATGTATAACTTTGTTGTCAATAAATGACAATAAATGACAAAGAGAAATGTTTAAAACAGAACAACTGAATAATTCTACTCATAATCCAGTTAATTTAAATTAATAGTATGTGTAATAAAAGTGTGAGGAGATAATCATTGTTTCTAGAGAAAATCGGAAAGAAAAATTAACAAATTCAGGGTACATTAAAACTTTCAAGATTTTCATTCAGATTATTTATGCATTAGTTTTGGAGTAAGATCGTCCCGCCCACCAGAACATTTTTTCTTTTGTACTACGTTCTTCAGTTACTGAAGAAGAAAGAAAAACGTTACCATATCCTATTTTTAACTCCTGGTATATCATATCATGTAGAATCATTGAACATTTATTTTTACCTGCTGCACTTAATTGCGTTATCTTTGACATTGCAAAGCGTTACATAACACCACTTCTTGGGCAACTTTAACTCGAATATACATTGGAAGGCCGATGGACATTAGTCCACTGCCAATCGCTTTCTCTTCATACATTGCAAACACTGATGAGCTGTTCTAAAATCAATAATTAGTCGAAATTATAATCGCACAACGTGACAGCCATACAGAGTGTCCAGTTGTGTTTCAATACCTCTTGAACGAAAGAATTGTGTACGGCTTCTTCCTTATAGAGCATTGTTAGTGATGTAAGATGGGCGCTATTTTTAAGGTAAGTCTACATAGAATGTTTGTGGTGTTGAAAATTTCGAATACTACCAGAAAGGAGTTGGCAGAGTTTTCAGAATGACTCGAGTTTCAATATAATCTCAAAGTAAAATAAAAAAAGGTTTGTCATTTCTCTTAGACATTTTCACAAAAATGCCAATTGAGATGAAAAAGATCAATCAAGCGATTCATTGCTCAAAAGTTTTTGAGCAATGAATCGCTTATTTCATTTCGCTTCGTATTTTTTAGTATTTTCTGCCGTAAGGAATTAATGATAAGAAAAAAATATACATTAAAAGATATCATTTTGGTAGGTTTCAATAACAAAGGCAGTAGTGTTTCATCATTCGTTGCCAAAGGGTCGCTATTTCATCAACAGTTCTAAATTCTGTCAATGATATTTATCTTTCCCCCCCAGGATAGCCACCTATCGACAAATGATAGTACTTGACCTTCTTTCTTCAATACAGTTTTCTTTTTATTATAAACTCTTCACTACGCCTCTAGATGGCATAATTTTGTCAAAATCAACCATACTTTTTATTTCAACCACAAGAGGGCGTTGTTCAACATTAGTTGTCAATTACATATTTCCTAATTCAGATTGATGATTAAAAACTACCAGAGAGTAGAATTGCTAATCTTTGGAACTATGTTGTTTTAAAATAATTCATCAGTGTTCTGATGACAGAAATATTTTTACACCATTTCGATATATTTATTTCCGTGTAAGTGTTCTATGTATTCTGATTTAGTCAGCATTCATTTAATAACTACTTTTTCAAAACTTTCAGACTGTATATAAAATGATCTACTTGAGACGGCTGTGTTATGACCAAAATATGTCCCATAGTCTCCCATGGTTATGAGACACTCATCTGGTGGCACTTTGATGTTGAGGGGCAAGTTTCTGTGACCTATATTCTAGTCGAGGTGTTTTATGTCATTTTTAGCGGTAAACTTAATTTATTTGAAACTTATTGAATATATAATTTGATCACAGTCGATCAGTCATTACGATGTTATTTTGGCAGTTCACTAATTACTCTACAAAATTTATAGGTTAACAGTAATCAACCCAAAATTCTCAAAATGTTAGTGTTCCGTGCTGACTGTCCCTTCTGAAAGGTATTCTGTGGTTTTATTCCATATCAAAGTTTGTGGAAATGACACTGGATTTTCTATCGGTTATCTATATGACAACTGACACTAATGACGAATACACGGAGTAGCCAGCTCTTAGAGAAAGCTGTCCATGGACACAAACACTGTTATTCAAAACTTGAATATGATATGTCTAAAATATATTTAACAATAACAACAAACTGAAAACACACCACAGGTCTCATCAGTGGTGCTAGGCTGAACCACAAATGCTTTGCTGCACTGAATTGTTCTCAGAGAACAAGCCTAAATGAGGTTCAGCCTAGCAGCTCAAGGAGAACCTCGTTTATCTTTGATATTCGAGGATTGAGTTCGATACCATAAATTGAGTTCGATATCATAGATGCCGTGTTCGTAAGGTGAGATGCAATCGCCCTCAGTTGATCAAATAACAAAAATAAAAATCTCTATAGAAATTCGTATTTCACAGTCAGAGACAAATCTGTAAAAATTGTGAAACTATTTTAGAGGACCATTGTCGCAAGGACGGTACAAAACTCGAGGAAAATTGTGCAACAAAGACATCTTCTGATACATAATTTTATCATAACGGCTCACTTAACAATACCTTTTCGATTTACTAGTCATCATGAATAGCTGAGTTTTACATTTCTATTGCTATAAATAGATATAGAAAAAATATATTATTATTTGCGACTACAATTCCTTATGGCAATAATTGACCATATTAAGTGATTTGACCCCATGGTTGCCAACTGCGGTAAAATAATGACATTTGCTAATGAATAAATAACCTAACTTTCTGAGTTCCTTCTGCATTGTCATTTTTGGGACATAATTGGGACAGACTATCTTATATTTCTTCATAGCTGATTCTTCATTCTAGAGCCCCAACTTAATATAGGACGAATGGAAATCTCTTTTCAGACATATTCTGGAAATCTCATTTACCAAAAATGAAAATGCAGAAGGAACTCGGAAAGATAAGTTATTCATTTATTACCAAATGTCATTATTTTAACGCAGTTGGCAACCATAGGGTCGCATCACTTAATAACATCAATTGATGTTTACCAAAACTTTGAAGTATTGAACCCAGATGTCGCCCACTCCTACATCCCGATAAGTGATGTGCGAACTTGATATAGTAGAATTTTTCACGAATTCGTCAATCTATTTCGTTTCAGATCGTCTTCTTTCTAACTCTATTTTCCTCTGCCCTGGCCCAACTGGGAATCATACGTGATCTGGTGGAATTCAACGTGGCTGGTCATCCTGTCCTCCACAAAGATCAAAAGTGGGAATTTGATCCAGAAGTAGGGAAAAGGCGATCCAGGCAATATCAAGAAATCAACGGAATTCTTGGAGAGAAGGCAATAGAAAGGCTAGGGTTAGGTATAGATGGGTACGATAGGGAGAGACTAGAGGACCAGCAGAGGCGAGATGAGGGTCATCTAGGAGGGGTGGACTATTTAACCCCGTGAGAAAGGATTACTGTATCATGTTTGAAATAAATTATTTGTTCTTTTTTTTCGATATTTATTAGATTCCATATCCTAAATGATTACTACTTTAATTTCTTGAAGTTTGCACTACCAGAGTTTGAAATGATTTTGTTGTGAGAGTATTAACTGACAGATGAAGAGTTTGAATTTGGAATATTTGAACTTGAATAGGTGTAAAAAAATAGAACTAAGGGAAGTAATGATCCATGTGTCCACCAGATATCGCCAGGGGTACGTTTTTTTGGCAAGTCTAAAAAAGTTTCAATTTTGTTTTGTAAAGAAATTGAAGTGTATATGCAATTCCAAGCAGTTTCTACAGCTTCATTTAGGCTAATGTTCCTGTTGAAATGAATATATTTTCAAATTATATAGGCGTGTTCCTTATTATCGTCTACTACATTCAGTTGAAGCAGCTTCAATCGCTGAAAGAAAGCTGCTAGACGCAAATAATAAACAATATGTTAAAGGTAACTGTCAATGTCATTTTATGCTGTCTGTTCTGTTCTTCAGTTTTGAAAGTAAAAAATAGAAAGTAATGATATGAAAAGCAATGATACAATAGTCAAGATTTTCTGGAAAATAAAAAATAGGTACTACAAAATGAAAACTTGAAATGTAAGATGTAATTATTCTAGAATCACCCTTTAATGAAGAAATTAAAATGTATTTTCCTATCGGCTGGCCAAAAGTTATTAAAATCCCTGATTTGGGTCAATCAAGTATCAGGCATATAACCTGTAATAGGGACAGGATACTGTTTGCTGTTGTGACCGATGATTCTTTAGCAATATGGTTCTACAAGGTAAGTCGTCAAGACCAAGAAATTACATCCCATAAACGACAAATCCTCTTCCAGCCCTGTGTACCCATAGTTTTTCAACGGCGTTCGACAGAATCCATAGAAAAATTTGGGACAAATGTTATTGCAGAATGGAAACCAGATTCAAGCATGATCGTTATTGCAGTAAGTACGAATAATATCTACATAAACTGATGAATACCAACGTTTGACTTCTTGTAGACTTCAGAAGGGCACCTGCTCTATTACAAAATTGGTGTTCCGTCCGACCATAAAGGTCTCTACAATCAAACAGACTCTCCAAACGCAAATCTACGTAGAGATAGTGCCGAGTTGTTCATCAAAGAAACCATTCCACCTCTAACACTAACGTTGGTAAGTTTCCTGCTATCCAAGATAGCTACAATTTATTCAAAATTTCTATACAATAAAAATCTGTCTTGCAGAGCGATGAAATCATGGTGTGGGACGGTAGGATAACCGGAATGGTGTGCATAACGATGATGGAGGTCATGCTCTCCACAACTAACGGTCACGTTCTCAGATACCGATGGGATGGCAGTCAGAACAGAGATTACACCCTGGATCTACGAAGGATACCATTCTGCATCAACCAGCAGGTGTCGAAGGCAATTCCCATCGTCGAAGAAAACACATATATCATAGAAATCGAATACTCTCCGCTAGTCGGTGGATTTTCTATAGTCCTAAACGATGGAAGAGCTGCTTTTTTGACGGCTTCCTCTTTAAAATTCGACCCGAATCAAGTGCAAGGAATTTGGGCTCAAGGTATCGAAGACGCCACTTCTACGACAATAAATCACAAATACAGGCTCATTACTTTTGGCAGAGCGAATTCGGAATGCGTGGTATATTGTGTTGATGAAAGTACTGGTGGTTTGGAGATTTCTCATAACTGCGTCCTGAGTAGCAAGGACTATCCAGGGTGCCCCGGAACTGTGAGTAAGGTACGACATTCATATCTACAGGGTATTTTGAAAATAACACCTCAGTTACGAGCTTTGCCGCATTTTGTAGTTTGAAGATCCACGTATATTTTGATGAATGTTTTGAGGCAGATCCTATAATTAGATTTCATTTTATTTCATTTTTATTTATCTCAAGAAAATTTACATTTTATAGACACGTCCAAACCTTAACCCAAATACTATAGATAAAATGTGTGAAATATATAAAACGTAAATGTGTGAAATATATGGAATATGATGTATAAAATGTAAAAAAGTGTGTAATGTAATGTAAAATGTCTGCATTTTAACATAATGGTCTCGGTAGAGCCTGCGGAGTTTGAATGGTATAAAACTCGATATTCCATAAGTTTCTCCTCCTCTTTTCAAACAATATTACCTTCACACGGATCTAAAAACTCCTCTATGCTGACAAAAAATGCATGAGAGTTGCAGGTGTCTCATGGTTAACCCTACATCCAGTGCTGGAATCTCTGTACACATCAGTCAACCCATCAGTAAACCAAAGTGTTATAGAAACCATCCTGGCAGTCTGAAATGACTTCCTCAGTTCCCGACCTCAGCCCACTTGATCTGAGGAAACTAAAAGTCAGGTTTTTAGATAAGCCAAGGTCTTCAACGTTCTTCAAGAACCCCCCTTGCATAGGATTATCCTTATGAATCAGGAGTGGATCGATGTCCCCGGCTTTCATGTGGATTTTTTGCTGGATAGGTTCTAACTTGATGGTAGCTGCATTGAAGAGTAATTCTCCGACCCCTGCTTTTTCATGGTGATGGCTCATCCAGCTGAGACGATCCGAATTGTTGTTTGGGAATGTATAACCATGGAACAAAATAATTGTGATGCAAACTCCTAAGAAGGTGCATCATTGTTCCGGCCTTCACGACGAGTTGTTTCAGCTCCTCTCGAGTCCATTTATTTTCTCCAAAAGAGTAGAATAGAATCAGAATGGCAAGCACCTCCATTGCAGCAACTTTGATTTTTCTCGACAGCTCTTGTTACATTGTTCCACCCTAAGATGGTGCTGCACATCTCATCTCTTCCTGTATTATTATTATTATACCATGTATAAATCTCACACCGCAGTGACCATCTCTGCTCTCGCTTCCAGAGCCACCAATGCCACCTGTACCTTCAGGGCGAAGACAAGCTCTACGTCAACTCGGCCAACACCCTGATCCGAGCGTTTTCCGAACGCTCGAAGAAGGACGACTCGTTTGGCGAAAACCCCGGCTCTTTTTCCACAACGCACGCCGAGGGTCGACAGTGGTTGGTCATTCCCATCCCCTCCACTTACTCCTCAACCAATTGGCCGACGCGATACTCCGCCATCGACGCTGACGGGGCGAACGTGGCGGTCGCAGGCAGGACCGGCCTCGCTCACTACTCGATGCTCTCGCGGAGGTGGAAGCTGTTTGGCAATGAGACGCAGGAGAAGGACTTCATCGTCGCCGGCGGGCTGCTGTGGTGGAGGGACTATCTTGTGATGGGCTGCTACAGCATCCTCGACGGCGGCGAGGAGTTGAGGTTCTATCCGAAAGAGGCCAAGTTGGACAACAGGTTCGCGAAGATTGTCAGGGTCGCGGCGCCAATTTTGCTGATGAACGTCCACCACGACCAGCTGATAACTTTCGGGTCGGACGCACAGGTGTGCATCTGGCAGATGCGGCAGAACGATTCGGGTGAGTCTTGTCTTATTTAATAATAATAATTCTTCATTTATTTTTTGAAGAGTGAAAGATTTTACAGAATTTATCGGCCAATCAATCATTCATTCATTTTCGAATGAAAACATACAGTTATAAAGTATATCTGAACATAATGTCGCTTTAATAGTGTACCTTAATGTTTTTCACTAATCCGGCTCGAAGGACCAGCCATATGCGTGCATATACTTACATCTGCAATTTCTAATTCTAGTAGGTGACGTAGACTTGACGAAACTCCAAGTAGTTGACATATCCGCTCTGGCCGTCCATCCGGCTTGCATAGCCTCCATAACCTTGACTTCTCTGAGAACTGAGACGGGCCGTGGCCACCATAACGTCTCGGAGAGTATGGTGTTGAACGTGAGCGGACGTCTGTTGCTTGTGCAGAGGGAGGTGAGAAGCGGAGAGAAATATACCTGCCTGATGCCGACGGTGCTGGCCAGTTGCGTCGAAAATGTCTGGGTTCCCGTGCAGAGGAGATTGGACAAGGTGAGTAGGTAGATTACAACGCGGTTGTTGTCGAAGCTTGACTTTGCAATGGACCGCCTTGGGGAGTCTCGTTTGTTCTTGATATTCGAGGCTCGAGTTCTCTGACGATCCCATAGATGGCGTTTTGGTGGGGAAAACGTCATCGGTTTTACTGGGGTGACAGGCGTTGAGAAAAAAAAAACAGTAGAAAAAGTATCCTCTTAACAGGAACCTATTCGATAAACATTAAGTGGTGACCTGGCTTTAAATTTCATTGTTGGTAAACATGAATCAAAACTGTCAGCGTCAATAGTCAAACTAATTCCATTGATTACAGTTTCAAATAAAACCTGGGTACTAGTTAATCCTTATCAAATATTGTCAATTTTGAACTGAACCTCCTTTTCATCTCAGGATTTACCCTCTCGGTAAGTAATTGAAAAAAGTGCATACACTAATTTTTACATTATTGTTCCAAATGGGGCAAGTATTAGATATTAGAAGAAATGACCAGTTTGTAAGAACATTGAAAGAAGGAAAAGTTAGTCTTTTATGGAAAAGAATATAACAAATTGTCCAAATCACAAATTTGTGGACTATTCGTGGATTTTTTTGGGACTTGAGAACGACAATATTTCAAGTCTCATTTTTCCCATAGTGTGAGGAAAATACTAAGGTAATAATTGATTTCTCGGCGTACAAAACTGCTTGCATGTTTATTTTCCACCATTAATGTCCTGTAAAAATGTTTTGTATACATGATGAGCTTCTGTTACTGCGCACCACTTTCAAAATGGAACTCCCAGATTAGATATGAAACAGTATACCTGGTGGGGACAAATCCTAATGCGCCGTAGTGGATGTCTAATTAACTACACTTTGATAGATAAAAAAGGGAACTATATTATCGATGGTGAAATTTGGCGGTAAATTTTGAATTTTCAACAAGGTACATACGTTCATGTCGAAAAGGATTATGCTCCCTTTTCATCTCAGGATTTACCCTCTCGGTAAGTAATTGAAAAAAGTGCATACACTAATTTTTATATTGTTATTGTTCCAAATGGGGCAAGTATTGGATATTGGAAGAAATGACCAGTGTGTAAGAACATTGAAAGAAAGAACAAGTAAGTCTTTTATGCAAAATAATATAACGAATTGTCCAAATCGCGAACTTGTGGACTATTCGTGGATTTTTTGGGAGAATAACAATGTTTCAAGTCTCATTTTCCACAAAGTGTGGTATCAATTTGCTTCTCCTGAAGATGCTAACCTTGTTAGCGAAACGCGCGTCGAGTGTAAAAATATCAGTTTGGTGCTAGGGTAATTGATCTCTAGAAAAGGTTTTCAAAAATCGGTTCGCAAAACCACTCACTACCTCACCTAATCTCACGAACACACGGCACTGATAAAGAAATATTGTGAAACGGACAAAAAATTAGTTATCAGCCAATCCAGCTAGCTGAGCCTTTATTCCTCAACTACATTTGATAGCACGTTTATTATCTGGACGACTAGGGGCCACAGGCAAGAAATGTTTATGACTGTACTCTTATTTTTATTGCCGTTTCAATTGGGAATGGATAGACTATAATCTATGATTGAACTATAACTAACTTTTCTCACTCCACTATCTTTCACAGTTATTCAGTCATGCCAACTTATTTGGTGCAACTTAATTTTGCCGGGTAATTCGAAAATTATTTGTTACAATAGTGTGTTTTTAAGTTACACCACTACACACTAATTAGGTGTGTTTCTTTAACACGTTGAATCTCTCTGTCTGTATGTAGTATATCCAGTAATTTTTTTTTTCATCACGATTTTAGCGATACTCTTTGAGGATGCGATATTATTGGGGGCAGAAAACGACACAGTCTTATACACATCAGACTCAAGCTCGCCGTTTTCACTCCCGCTGAGCGTTTTACAACGTACGGTGAGTTTTCAAGTACCTGCGAGTCGGTTGAATGATATTCGTTCCTGTTGTAGAGTCAAGTGTACTTGCACCAGATCCTGAGGCAGTTGATAAGAAGGAACCTTGGTTTCCACGCGTGGGAAATAGCGAGGAGTTGCATGGGACTGCCGTACTTCCCCCATTCGTTGGAGTTGCTTCTGCATGAGGTCAGATATCTAAACTAATTTGTTTTTTTGTATGTATGTTTGTATGTTTGTTTGTAATATAATATTCTACACCGATTACTCGAATTTTGTTGGGTTCTAAAGGTATTGGAAGAAGAGGCGACTAGCAAGGAACCGATCCCAGATGCTCAGCTGCCGAGTATCATAGAATTCATCATGGAATTTCCCGTGTATCTAGAGACTGTAGTCCAGTGTGCGAGAAAAACTGAAATAGCGCTTTGGCCTTATTTGTTTTCGGCGGCGGGGAAACCCAAGGACCTCTTCCAGGAGTGCATGGCCAAAGGACAGCTCGACACTGCTGCTTCGTATCTGATCATTCTCCAGGTTAGCAATACTCATTTTTGAATTATTTCGAAGTTATTTTTGGTACGCAAAGGTGGATAATTGTTTATTGATTCCGTTTTAGAATTTGGAAACGTCATCACTGAGCAGGCAATACGCAACCCTGCTTCTGAACACCGCATTGGACAAATCCAAGTGGGAACTTGCCAAGGATCTCGTGCGTTTTCTTAGAGCGATAGGTACCGTATCTTAAAATCCAGTAAATTCAATCGAGTCACCATACACCTTCTATTTTCGTCTTTTAGATCCCAACGACGTGGAATCTGAATCGCCGCGTACCTCCTTCATCTTACCTCCCAAACTCGGTATACCTCAACCTCCTCCCGCGGTCAGCCCCAACGCGGAGGATCTCTCCCTAATTTTGGGAAACGTTCAAGGGCCGAGGGTGAGGAGTTACAGCACGACAGTCTCGCCGAAACTGGTCGAGAGATCGAACAGCATGGTGAGCAATATCGGCACCGTGGTGGAGTCTCCAGTACCTGACAGAAAAAAATCTGTGCCAAATTCCGTAGGAAACGTTAAGAGTGATAGTAGGTTAGTCAGCTGATAACTAGTAATTCGAATAACGTCTATTTCTGGGAGGAAGATTAGCTAATAATTTAATTCTCACTTAGAAAATAGACAGTTAGTATTTATGAATGATGAATACAGTTAGAAATTGACTGTGAGCAGAGGGGTTCCCCAGGGTTCAGTCCTAGGGCCTCTTATGATTTAAATTTATATTAATGATTCACATGACAACCTTGTATGCAAATTTTCTTATTAGTCAGTGGGCTATGCTTGATATGCAGTTGGTTAGTTCCTCGTCCACTAGATGGAGTGACATTTTGTGATGTTCACTCCAACTTTGGAAGAGGAATGAAATACTCTGAAAGAATTCCGATTTTCAATTGTGGAATATCATTGACTTTAGGTCGATGACGATCACTATCTTGCACTGATGAGTGGCTAAGGAGCCCGAAACCGGTCTGCAAGTGTGCCCGTTCCAAAATTGAAGGTCGACTCTTTCAGTTGTATTGCCAATTGCATATGCAGGACATTTTCTGTGAAGATTCCTGCACTGACGCCTGTCGGATATAATGCAACGCCCTTCGGGGTATTAGCCAGGGGAGTAGTTGTTTTCTGAAAGGCGTCAGTCCATTAAACCTACTGTGTAGGTATATAGAGACTGGCTTGATCGTTTGAAGTTCCATTTGCTTTAGATTTGTATGCAAATGACAAATTTCTACCCTATCAACAAAACTGAAAATTGACAAATTTACAAATGAGATGATATCACTGCAAAAAAGTTGGTAAAAAAAGGTTTATTGTCTAACAGGAGTCATCCGAATTACAAGACAAATATAATTAAGTTTACATCTATGACTAAGTACGAGTACAATGGAATATAAAGAATAGCATACAAAATCAGCAGAGTAATAGATCCTACTACATCGCAATACTATTCTCATTGCTCGATTTTGTAGCTTTTGTAATTGGGATATTTTATTCAGATCAAAGCAGTATAGTAATGTAGGGCAATATTCTAAATGAGGTTAAATGATAGACTTATACACAGTTATTCTGGAATTCAGACTTGAGTTTTGGGACACTCTAGAAAAGAAATATAGTTTTTTCAAGATTTTTTTTTGATATATTCAAAGTGGCTACTAAATAATAAATGATTATATTATCCAACATAAATCCCAGATATTTAAATTCTTTTACAATTTCAATTTTTTCATTGTTTATTTCTATGTTAATGTTACTACTATTTATTTGTTTATATTTATAAGGTGTAGTAATTATCATTGCTTTACTTTTACTCACATTTAACTTCAATTTATTCATTTTCAAATATCTATCCATATTTTTCTGTAATAATATATGGAATTTTAGACTGGGAAAATGTCGTACTCCTCATTTGGAAAGGGTTTTTATTATGCAAAAAGCTTCTGTGCGTTCAATTGTTGAAACCAGATTCGATTATTTTTGCAAACCAATGTTCAAACAAGTAGGAGGTGTTATGACTCTCGTCTACACTATTTATTAATTTACGGGCAAGCCCATTTAAAGTATAAATTACAATTAAAATAAAATCAGATATTGTACTGAATTACAAATTGCAACTAAGAATAGCTTGAAAGTGGTAAATTTAAAGTTTGAAAGGGGTTGATTTTAGAGTATAAAACGACAACAAATAATGAGCAACAATATAACATACATAAACTATACACTGAAACATTAAAGCACAGCATTCCGTAATTGAGTTTTAAAATGACGCAATGAGATGTTAAACATGTCAAGATCAACGTTACTATTGGCTTATTGTAAGATTCTTGGAATGCAGCTATTGAATGTTTTTTGCTGTCGAGCTGAGCGGTTTTTAACATGTAGATACATTTTTTGTAGGAGTTCAGCACAACTGAATTTGCCGTTAATAATATTGAAAAGTAGTGTCAGGTCTCTCTGTTTCCAGAGAGGACATGCTCAGAGATTGCATAGATTGCATACTCACAACGAACACCTGATTTATATGCTAAGTATCGGTGTTGGACATTTTCGTATATGTTCTTAATATAAGCTACACAATGAGGGGACCCGACAGAAGAACAATACTGCAGATGTGGACGGACCAGTGAACAATAAAGGGCTTTAATATACGAATATACGAAAATCTTATGTATATCACAACATATTAGTAACATAATATTGATATCTTTTTTTCCAAATTCTTTGTCATCATAAATTCTCAAAACCTGCAATCCTGTGTTTGTAATAACATTCACGAATTGAATATTTCTTTCAGAGCCCCTTCGAACAATAATAACCCCGAAGAGACTTTCATAGATGTGATATTACAGAAACACGCCCGTAGGTTGTTGTCCGTCCGCCGTTTGACCGACTTGGGCTACTTTGCGGCCCATTTGGATTTCCATTTAGTGTCGTGGTTGGGAAAAGAGAGAGATCGCGCATCTAGAGTAGATGATTTCGTCAAAGCATTTAAGCAAGTCCACGAAGACTTCAATTGGCCGTATCCTACCCCGTCGTTGGCGGTGTCTAGAAAAAGTATCTCTTGTAAGTATGAAAAGCTGTGTTGCTCTTCGGATAAAACATTAAATATTTGTTTGCATTCTTGAAATTCATTTGTGGAATCTGAATCCTTTACTCCTGAGGATAAATCATTCATTCATAAAGACTGAAATTTTAGAAGTCATCGTCCTTAGCAGAGAAATATGAAAGTAATTTCTTGCTCGGGTTGGCTATTGATGGAATTCAAAATTGTAACACATTTTATAAAGTAAGTATTTGACAGGAAACATTTGCAAGACTAACCTCTGTCAGGTACCTTGCATATATGTCTGTCAGATATAATTCAGTATCCGGCGTGGCACTATCCTGGAAAGTAGTTGTTTTCCGGTAAGCTTTTACCAGAACCTACTGTGTAAGTACGTTGGAAGAGATAAATGTTTTGAGAATTCATTTCTAAAATTTTTTTCTTACACAGTGTGACCCATTTTTAATGGAAACACCCCCCTAAGATTTGAAGTTGTAAACCGATTTTAATAATTTTTTTTTGAAATGTCAAGTACTAAAAGGTCTACCATGGGATGGGAAGTATAGGTTTGCGATATATCGTTTGGAAGGTCTCTTCANAATTCCGTTATTTTCATTAAAAATATTTACGCTATTTGTTTTTTTTTTCATCTGGCGACACTTTATTGTTGAAATCATAAAAAAATTATATATTGTGACTGTTAGCTGTGTGAGTTTTCGAATTTTTGAGTTGTCATAACTTTGTTAATAATGAATATTTTTTCATGAAATTTTGGTCACACCTATTTAGAGGCACTCTGAATCCAGTGGCGTAGTGATTTTTTTCAATAAAAAATCGCTTATAAAAAATCCCGATTTTTGACTAAGAAAAAATATCGTACTATGCCCTGAAACTTTAATAAACACTTCAAATTTTGTCCCAAGGTAGACCTTTCAGTACTTGACATTTAAAAAAAAAATTATTAAAATCGATTTACAACTTCAAATTTTAGGGGGGTGTTTCCATTAAAAATGGGTCACACTGTAGATATATATCTGTCCTTGACACAATCTTCAGGCATATTTTGAGATCATGTTTTTCAAAGCATATTTATTATCATTCAACTTTCTGATCCAGCTTCGCAATCGCCGCTAGAGAGCCCCACCGCCCACATTGAAGACCAGCTCCGTTCGCTCAAGGTGGACGTCTACAACTACCACACGAGCTCGAGCATGGTGGGCGACAGCGGCTACATGTCCTTCCAAGACCTCCCTTGCACTGGCCTAATCACCCCTGCGAACACTCTAGAGCAGTCGAGTCGAATGGCAGACACGGAGATGGGTGAACACGGAACGTACGTTTATATGTTTAGTATTGTTCGCTTCATGATCAAATTTAATCTGTGTTATGTTTATAGTTTCTCCGACTTCACTAGTAAAATTTGAATGTTCAGACGATAATGACAATAATGTATTAAATATATACCAATAAAAAACTACAACTTAACTCAAGTTTCAGAAACACGTTTTAAAGTAATTGGTAATTCGATAAATAATAACCTCCATTACATAAAATTCATTGTTTTCCATGATTTGTATCAATGATCAACTTCTCAATCTTCAGTGATTTGAGTGTGATATATATTTCTGATGTTAGGCTATAATGTTGATATTTTAACTACTTGTACAAGGGTATATTGAGTTATATCCAAAGTGCGTAGATGCAATATACGAGGGTGGTGTGAAACGTTTCTGAGCTCAAAGTGAAGATGGCAGCACTCGTAAATGAAAGCTAGTGAATTTCGTTGTTCATTTGTTGAGAATTACTCACCAAAGTTTCAACCATTTTGGACGCATAGTTGTGTAAGAGTCGTTTGAGTCACTTGATGTGTTTTTATGAAAATGGGCAAAAGCGAGTATCACGAGCTGTCATAAATATTTGTTTTTGAAAGGCAATACGCCTACGCAAATCAAAGATGAATTGGATTCTGTGGATGGGACTCTGCACTATCATTTACCTCTGTGAAATTTTGGACAGCTGAATTTAAACGTGGCCGTAAGAGCTTGGGACACGATGAACGTTTGGGACGTCCAAAAACTACAATTACCAACGAAAACATCGCCAAAGTTCACTAAATGGTGATACACCACCGCCGAATTAAAGTGAGAGAAGTAGCAGAGGTTATGAACATGTCAAAAGAACGTGTTTTTCACATATTAAATCAACATTCAGAAATGAGAAAGCTGTCCGCGCGTTGGGTGCCGCGCTTGCTCACGTTAGACCAAAAACGTGTTCGAATGAACATTTCCAACGGTCTGTTAGCGCAGTTTAGGCGCAGATTAAATACTGTTAATGAAACTCGGATACACTATTATACGCCCGAAACAAAAATACAGTCCAAACGGTAGACTGCAAAGGTGGAACCGGCTCCAAGGGAAGAAAATACTGTTTTTTCGGTTGGGAAAGTGATGGCGATAGTCATGAGTTATTTCAGTTGATTATCTTCAAAAAGGAAATACCATGAACTGCTTCACCATCCGCATAACTCACCAGATCTAGCCCCAAGCGACTTCCGTTTGTTCCCTCATCTAAAAATTGCGCTCGTAGGACAGATTTTTCATCAAAGAAGAGGCAATCATCTCCGTGAATAATTATTTTGCAGAGAAAAACGCCGAGTACTTTTTGGGTGGGTTACAGAGATGGGAGCATGGCTGGGAGAAGTGTTTAGAATTTAAAGAAGACTACGTTGAAAAAAAAAAAGGAAAAATGTCTTGTACCTATGTTAGGTCGGAAACTTTTCAACCACCCTCGTATTATTATGTAACAGCATTTGATTTGATTTAAATTCCTCCGACAGGAACAAAATCGACCTCATAGAACGCGATCTGTTCGACAGGAAAGCCTCCGGTGCTTTGACACCCGGCCTGCAGCTCGGCCTGAAGACGACGACGCTGGCGTCCGTTGCGGACGAATCCGTCATGAGCGCTGTCAGTTCCGTGTGGGGCGACGACAGGGATCTGAGCGTGACGGGCACCGATAACTGGGAGATCCCCTCCGCGCAGATTCTGGAGCAGCTGTCGACTGCCGATAGTAAAGGATCGCCAAGAGCCGAAGTCCAGTTGAGGTAAGAGAGTTAGAGTAGCTTATAGTACAGTGGCCAAAATTTACTTAAGGCATCTTGAAAAACCTCTCAGCGAGGTAATTATATCCTATATTTTATAGGTATCTTCTGCAATTGTTCATGGAGGCAGGTTGCTTGGAGTGGTCGCTGCTCTTGTCGGTTTTGTTACGAGACGCCATGGCGGTAGTGCGAACCGTGAACGCCGCCAAATCTCATGATCAGTCCATAGAAGCAGTGTCCAGGCTGCGACAGGGCCTCATTATTTTGAATTATTGGACAAGTACCGAATGGTAAGTGCAAAACTTCTGCATATGGCTTGTAATGAAACTTTAGTCTCTATTCGGATTATTCTGGCTGTCTACTCGGTTGGGTGTGGCGGGGCAGACGACTTTCTAGCATTGGATTTATTGTTACGTCTTCCCCGTGGGTCCGACAATAATTGACCACACTGTACAATTGAAGTCAACGTTATTTCGCTACTACACTGCCAATACAACACAAAAACTTCAACTGAACTTCAGACTAATATCAAATGTCTATCGCCTTATTACCTCACTTCGCACTGCACTTTCAACTAAACTATCCTCTTCTGTCTGTTGATAGTGCTTTTATATCCCGATGGAAGTCTTCTTAAGCAGATAGGAATGTTCTTAAAGCAACGCGAGAGCTAGAACTGTCGGGAAGCACAAGTAGAGTTGAGCGCGACCTTAGCCAAGTCATAGTCGACCGACGAAAACTAGCGACGGTCGGCGTTATTTTTTTAGGGGATAATTGTAGAGAGGGAGAGAAAAAATATGCTTTATTGTTCGAACAATCTCAAATCAAGGTGTTATGTAAAATACACACACACACACAGAAAGAAGAAATGGGACAATGAATCGACACTGACATTGTACTGGAATTTACTACAACAATAAAGTCTAGCACATGAGAAACGTCTTACAACAGTTTAAAACAAGCTTATGTTAGAATGTGTCACATTGGGGAACTGGGCGAAACCCCATTGTAATCTGCCTACCTCTAGTAATGCGGAGCTCTGCCAGAAGTGACCAACTCTTTCCTTGCTACTCGTGGAAATACACATGAAAGTGCTCACCTCAATCTAAGGCGGTGGTTGGAGATGAACAGAAATGTCCACCCCAATCTTGGGGCTTGGAATGAAGCTGGACATAGCAGATCACCTCCAACAGCAAGGGAACCCCAAGAAGGTTGAAGAAGCCGCGCAAAGACAGTTATATCGCTGCACCTTCCAAACCCTTCGGGGAGGCCACAGTGAGACACCTCAAAGTTGCCAAAGAGAGTGTGTGTTCGGCGAGTCTTTGCCTACACCTGCCAATATAAAGGAGATGTCTCCTAATGACCTGTTCACCTTTCAGGAAAGGACAGAATGGACGGTGACCTAGGAAGACAACTCCTCGGGAGGATGTACAATGGGTCACATGTGGCCTAAGTGCTGTGAGCCTACACTCATCCTCCCTACTCTGCAGATACTAGATACCAGAGAATCCTACAAGGCGATAATAATTGAACAATATTCACAATTTTTTTAGTTGCGTTTTGCCAACACCAGTAGATATGCTAGGCCGGTTCTGGCTCATTCCTTATTGATATTTTCATGGAAAATGGCTAAGGTCTATCGTGGCATTTTTGGTTCCTTTTAAGGTCACGCGTACGGCAGACAATCGAGCAGCGTTATCGCGGTTTGAAAGATAACGATTCGAGCGAAACTGATACATAGTACGCCGAACAAAGCCGAACATACTGCGCAAAGCGTAACACCAAACTATACCGCGCTCTCATTGGTTGGTGTCACAGAATCGGCTTGGTTCAGCGTACTATGTATACGTTTCGCTCGAATCGTTATCTTTCAAACCGCGATAAAGCTGCTCGATTCTCTGCCGTACGCGTGACCTTGAAAGGAACCAAAAATGCCACGATGAGCCAGAAGCGGCCTAGCATATTTACTAACACCGTTGCTTTCGGTAGTGAGTTAGCATCGTTTTTAAACGCTCTGCTTTTTTATGTATCCTTGAAAATGTTATTAAAGTGTTCATTATTACATGGAAAGGGCTTTCTACAATATACTGTATATTTTCTCAAACAAAAATTTATCTTATTTTCATAATTTCCGGTTCTCTAAAGTCGCGTCTTTCACTAACACATATTTATATTCCATTCCAGCCTTGGTTATAAAGCCTTCATGTTAGCAATACAAAATCAAATTTCCGTCCTAACGAGAATCTTGGAAACCAAAATCCAACATCACCAAATCGTCGAGTACCAGCAGGCGCTGTCGGCGACCCTGAATAAGGTCACACCAAAGCAGCCGCGTTCACGAAAGACCAGCTCAAATCATGAAGGCGGTAACCAACCGACCGCTACTGTTGAAAAAGGAAAACTGGTTTCTAGCAACGGCTCCCACCACTCCAACGAAGCTTCGAGCGAAGGGAACACGGGGACTCTTCAGGAAAGTATAGATAGAAACGTCACGGATAATCCCCTGATTCCTGAGAGCACAGGCTGCGTCGTGTCTTAATTCGCTACAGTACAGTAATGGATCTTTACACATGTGTCAACAATTTATATATACGGCACGAAGTGAGAATGATTGAAATCGTAACTGGCATTGTTTAAAACTATCGCATTTGCGTTCTAATGATTTAATTCTTCCCCCATTTAATGTTCTTATTTATCAATAATTCACGATATAGTATATACGAAGTCAATTCGAATGGCATGGAAACTAAATAGTTACCGAACGTCGGCAGTTTCTTTGTACGGCATGGGCGGCGTCATCCACCCAACCATATTTAACATTATGTGTGACGAACCACGTTCAAAGATTTATATTCATAATCGAGATAACCCCCTACCTCGTTGCGAACCATTTCTAGAGTTTGTACCTTGTTTTCTTCGTAAAACTCGTATAGAATTCGGCGTATAACGTTTTTGTCGGCATTATCAACCTTTTTAAGTTTCTGATTATTTTTTTATTGTTTTACGGAATGATCAATGACATCTCTCTAACAACAGTATAAATTGTAGCACGAGCAAGTTTAGTCAGTTCACAAATCTTTTTTAAAAATATCGTTTTGTGAGGCCCCACGCACTTCACTTTACAAGTAAGTGTAAATATTTAAAATAAGTCTTTGGATTTGAGTATGCGTCTTCATTTAAAAATTCCGACGCCGTAGAAATATCCTTCAACATTGTCCACTCCATTATAAGAAATATCACGAAAAGGTCTCCACAACGCCATCTTGATTTAATAACAACAACAGTCGGTTCCTGCTCTCAGGTATTTGGATGTCATTCCTTTTCCATAGAAGGCCTAATTTATATCTATCTCCTATTTTTCATCATTTTCAGAAAGACGATTTCGGTTGATGAGAATTCCGAAAAATTCAATCGAAAATTAATGTTTCATCATTCTTATCAAGTCATTGTTGTCATTATCCTTTTCGCAAATGTGCAATGAATACACTCTGAACACTTGCTTCTTGTTTTCGAATTACAAGGACCATGTATAGCCTACCTCAATCTACATTTGCTCGCGCAGAGTATATTATGACCAATCAGTAAAAGCGGACTTTCATTTTTGATGTGACGTGCCAATCTGTCAAGATGACATTTAGAAGCACTGCCAACGGTATGAACTCCTCTCAAAACGGATTTTTTTCATCATTTACTTCATATTTATGCTTGTCCACTGTAGGCGACAGTATAAAATTCGCTGTGAAATACCCGCAATAACTTCAAACTGTCGTATGATAGTGATGCGTCATTAATTTCTGATTTTGGACTGGAACTAACATGTATGTACTACTAACATGTCCAAAAGCAACTGCTTGAAAATCCTTTTTCCTCGCCAGAACAAAAGTACTGTCTAGCATCATCAGAAGATTGCTAAGTCTTAGTCATCTCCTGATGTTTTTGACTTAGTTAGCGAAACACACTTGGAGAGTCAGTATTTTTGTTCTGGTGAGGTTATCAATCGATAAACATAAACGTTAACTATTTTTCCTCTTGTAGAAGTAAAGGATATCGTATAAAAGAATGTTATTATGTTGATGCGCATGTGTAATGATCCCAAAGTGTAACTATCGAGACTGACGAATTTTTTTTGCCAAGGGAGTATCGATTCACGATTTTCAACATCTCTTGCAGAATTGCAAAATTTAGAAAATTTTCAGACGATCTCACGTTCGTGCAGATACAGTTATCGATTTATGAGAATTAATTTTAGCAATAATTCAATTACTAGATACAAATTGGGTGATAAAAGGGTTCGAAATTCAATCACGAGATTCGTTGCAGATATTTCTCAAGTAAGGGTAAGACGAATAACTTTTTATACTGTTGATATCAATATAACCTGATAAGACTAATTATTTTTACTAATACTCTTCAATTTAATGTTTATTGTATATTTATTCATATGTATATGCATTATTTTGTTGTTAATTGTATTATTATGTTGTATAATGAAACTTTTAGATAACAGTATCGTCTTATTTTTCTATTTTGGCGTGAAGTACTGAGAATTGTCAACACAAAAAACTACCAAGCTGAAACAGTAAAAAATTACTGTTTCTCTAATGAAAAAGTTGAAAAATTGATGGGTTGTAACAACCCATCTCAACAACCAACGCTGAATAATATTGTTTATACATTTGGAGTGGGAGAAAGTAACATTAACATGAAATAAAGAAGCAAACAGGTAAGTATTTCAAAATCTCACTCATAGATATTATAACACAGTGCAGACAACATTTGAAAGGTAAAAAATATCAAGATCAGAAAACGCTATTGCGGCAGACATTATGAAAGGCGATGCAGTAACGATCGAAGTACTATACCTTGCCTTTTCTTGATATTATGATATTTATCGCTTAGTTTTCAGATTCTTGAAACGAATATAAAACTGCTATTCAGTTGGGAATGGCTAATCCGATTTTCAAAAACTGAAAATGATGTTCAACTAAATATTATTACTTTCTTCCCCGTGGGTTAACCACTAGTTGACTACACTGAAAAATAATCAAACTTAACTTTATTTCACTTTAAATACAACAAAGACTTCAACTAAAACTTCAACCATTATTCGAATGACTATCGCCTTACTAGATCGCTTCGCGTACCGCACTGTAACTTCAACTTGACTGTGTCGATATGCTAGTGGCTAGCGTTTATATGTCGTAATTGAATGCGGTAGAAAATTCGCCGGAATTCCATCTAAGTCGGTAGCATTATTCATGCTAGATCTAGAGCGGCAGCGAACATCGTACCTTCGCGCCCTCTTAGCTACGTCACAATTGGCTACCAGTGGCGGCCGGCGTTATTTTCTTTAAGGCATAATTTACAACAATATCGTTGGTGTGATTGAAATTGTTCTGAGAATGGTTCTCTGGACGATTTCCAGCAGTGAAGATGGTTTATTGATTTTGTTAATGTTCGTCAACCTCGATTGTGTTGGGTCCCGTTTAATTTTGCGGTAATTTGAAGGGTCTAGTAGTTTTTCAATTTCGCTGTTATATTCTTCCATTTCTGAAGCATCATGGCATTTCCCTTGTCTGCTGGAAGAATCACTGTAGATTTGTAAATAATGTTCAATATTTTGATGCAAAGTGTTTGATCCAAGTCAGTTTTGGGGTTGAAGAGAGTTATTAAAGAAGTAAGACACACTGGCTATAAGCTAGTTCACTTTCAAATATGAAATATTTGTTGAAAAATGAGAATTAAAACTTTCTAAAGTCTTTGTACCACTTTTATGGGAAAGTTGTTGAAAATTATGTTACATATTATAATTAAATGTTATATTACTATAAATCTAAACAATATCCTTAACAAACATTCATTTTAAAATTTATACTCTAGGTTTAGTATATCTATTTTTTTAAACTTTAGTACCACAGTTGAACATTTCAAACTCAGTGAGAAAATTCCCACAGAGGCTCAATTGCGGTGTTGAAGCAGGCCAGTCTGTCTCTTACATTGTACAAACCTTTCAGGAGGACAAAAACCTCAGCGCCATCTTTGCGGCCGCCTTCTTCGCCATGGATTTGTTGGCACCTACACCATAAACCGTTTTTGGCGTGCCGTTGAGCATAACTCTAAGCGGTATCATCGATTTACGACTTGACATATACTGTACGAGCCTACAATTTCACTGTCACTAATCAAAAATTTTCGTTTGCTTGAAATACTTACCCAAATCTGGGATGAGCCTTGTCCCATTCGAAAAGCCTCCTGATGACGTTCATGGGAACGTTTTGGCTGAACTCGGTGATTTCTTTGTGCATTAACTTGTAAAATACCTTCCAGACGATGCCCAAATCTTTGTCGCAGTCCAAATAAATCGCGCCGGCTATCGCTTCGAAAATGTCTCCAAGAACCTAGAGAGGGAGAGCGAGTAATCGTAAACTAGTTGTGGTTACAAACAAAAATAGGGAATAGAAGAGACAAGATACAATACAAGAGAAAAACACTGATACAATTATTGTAGGAGTAGTAAGATGTGTCGGCAATTGCAGTTTTTTAACTTAATAACAAACACTTTCTATAGAAATTGTAAGAACCCGTAGCTCGCCAGTCAGTTGTTGCTGAGACAGATAAAAATTTCGTCTTCGCAGTCAACCCACGTATCACTGATGATGTCTGTCTCAGTAGCAGACGAAACGTTAGGTAATTCAGGTTGAATTCGACCACGGCCTACGGTCTTGGATTTTGTTCTCTTCAATTTTGACCCATAATCACTGGTGAATTTTCCCGAATAATGCATTAAAACGTATTCTAAAATACACTTTATTGTGAGAATTCCACTTGAAAGTTTACAAAACCGCGATACGTGTTTCGCTATACACCATCTTTGGGCGTCACAATATTGTGTATCGTGACGCCCGCTCAATCTCAACAGCAACTGACTGCCGAGCTACTGGTTCACTAATATTTATAATTTCAGAGGGTGGTGAAGATGATGGTGGGGACGGGCTTCACAATATTGTGTATTGGGACGTCCGCTCAGTCTCAACAACAACTGACTGCCGAGCTACTGGTTCACTAATATTTATAATTTCAGAGGGTGGTGAAGGTGATGGTGGGGACGGGCTTCACAATATTGTGTATTGGGACGCCTGAAGATGCTATTGTATACCAAACTGAAATGTTGATGATAAACTTACTTTAGGAACGTCGACTGTTTCTCCTAGACGGTATTCCTCGTCCTCCAAGAGGATCAGGATTTCGTCGTCCACTTCGTAGTCCTTTTTCTCCATCAGCGAAACAAACTTATCGATGAGCCCTTGCAACTTCGAGCTGATCATCAGCAAGAATTTGTGGAGGCCATTTCTGACTACCAGGCTGGCGAACGTGTTGTTGTTGACTAACGCCGACCTTGGTACAATAATCATAATGATTTATTTTCCCAAGACACATACAATATTGTTGTGAATTATCCCAATATAAGCAATACCAACAGGCAGACCAAGTGAGCTGCGACTTGCTCAAGGTCGCGTTCGACCCCACATGTATGACACGCCGCATCTGATCGAGAATCGTTTGACCGGCTTCGAAAGAGTTTGATCGGGCTAAATATTACCGCCGCATGGGAGAGGCAGTCTAGTTCGGAAAATGCAGGGAGAAGTGAGTTAATATGGCGATAGATATTTCAGCATTAGTCTGAAGCTCGGTTAGATTATTGGTGTTCTATTGATAGGTAGTAATGAAATAAAGTTGAGTTTAATTGTAGAGTGTGATCAATTATTGTTGAACATAAGGGGAGAACGTAACGATACTTTGATATAGTTATCTTGAATGTAGTGCCAAAATTAATGTTCTTTACGAATTCGGGCAGGTTATTTGAAATTGTTATTCCAAGGAAGAATATTAAAAATGTTTTTAAACAGTTTGTACTTCTTGTTAGGTGGTCCGGACAATCCCAATTTAAGGTGTAAAATATATTTGAATGCTATTATTTATGGTTTGTCAAATGGATGAAAATACTCCTCTTTCGGGGTTTGTATGAATCAATTTTGGTTCTAGGATTGACAAGTTGTAAATATACATTTTATCGCTTTGTTTTGTGAAATTTTCAAGGGTTTCAAAGTCGAATTTGTGACAGTGCCTCAAAACAGAAGTCAGCGATTGAACTTATGCAATTCTCCAGATAGTATCTTGAAGTTTCAATAAATTTACCTCAAATCCGTCATCTGGCCAGGATTCAGATTCCCACAGCTCTCGTAGATGTAACACGTTATCAGGAAATCCAGTACTGCATCTCCGAGAAACTCCAACTTCTCGTACGAACGAGTTATTCTGTTGGGCGTGTACGAAGCGTGGGTGAGCGCCTGAAGTAAGTATGCCCGATTCCTGAAATTGTAACCCAAAATCTCTTCTATTTCTCTCCAGTGAGGTATGTGGTAGTCGATATCTTCGCTAGAAGTATCTTTCTTCAATACAGGATCCTGCGGTGCCTGCTTCAAAAAATTTTCAAAGTTTTCGGACAGTGGGATGATTCCCATCCATTCCATGAACTTGATGCCACCTGAAAATAGTCAGTTGTAGTCAATAAAGGTTCTTCGGTAACGCGACAATACATATTTTGTGCCAAAGCTATTATACGAGTTTTTCAGCCGTAGTCTGCAGGTTTATATGCATGACGTTTCGTCTACTACTGCGGTAAACATTATCAAAGGCGATTAAGTAAAGGTTGAAGTGCTCGGATTGTTCTCAACGCAGAAACCTCAATCCTGCAATTTGTATCCGGTTTTATATTATCATAGTTAGGCCCGGTTTTGTTTCACAAATCAAATCAAAATATGCTTTATTACTCTAGGTCTGAACATCTTATTGGCAAAGTCTAGTGAAGTAAAACATGTATACGGGACAATTAACAAATATAAACTATAAAATAATGCTTAGAGACAAGAGGAGAGTATCTGGACAGAACAATATTAAGCCCAGCTGAACAGATACAAATATAAGTACATGAGTATATGAATATTGAGTAAATGTAAATATATAATTTATTTATTTACGGACTTGTCATTAAACAATGAACACATAAATGTGACTGAAAAAATAAACAATTGAATACTGATTAATACTGAAAAACTGATTTTTAAAAAAAATATGAAGCATATTTTCATCATACCAACGAGATAAGTTATTTAAATCTATCTGTAACAGTTCTGCATCATAAAAGTTATCTACAACCCTGTAAAGTTTGAGATCATCTGCAAACTGAATAATAGCTGTGGCGTTAACATCCAACACATCGTTTACAAAAAGAATGAAGAGTATTGGACCAATATGCGATCCTTGAGGGACACCAGACGTTACAGGAATTTGTGATGATATGGAACCAGCATATTTAGCATACTGAATTCTATTATCCAAATAACTCTTTATCCATTTTGACATGTTACCATTGATGCCTAATACTAGGAGCTTAGCCATGAGAAGATCATGATTTACCCTGTCAAAGGCTTTAGAGAAATCAGTATAAATAGAGTCAATTTGGTGTTTTTCCTCTAGGTTATTCAAAAGAAAATTTAAATGGTACATACAAGTCAACAGCAGTGAAAATCACTCCGTATAGATTCTGAACAGCTTGATCGATATTAGGTGTACTTTCAAAAATACTATTCCAATAAATACTAGCGAAAAAATTATTTATTCCATAATAATCACCATTTTTTAAATCATAATAGTACTCTTCATATCTAAGTTGCGGTTCTGTATCAAATTTCAGGTTGCAGGTAACTGCGGTGTGATGCACACTGTTAGGAAACAGCAAAACCAACAGTTCATAAATATAAAGATCTTTTAATAATAAAAAAACTAAATCTAGTGTAATATTCCTGCTATTAGCAATGGTGTTCAATTGATGAAGGTTGTAATAGCCAAAAGAGTGTTGTAACACAATAGCGGGAGGGTTATCTAGACAATTGACATTCAGACCCAAATCATTGTTGGACCAAGCCGCATTTGGTATATTATAATCCCCAAATAGAATAATTTCTATAGTTTTCAAGAATACAGTTAATATCATACGTGTGTTGTTCATAAATATCATTTGATGATGATGGTGGTATATAGATTCCTCCAATTATTACTTCACGATTTTTAATATTGAGAAAAACAAATAATTGTTCTGATGCTACGTAATGAACATTGATAGATATTTCGTGTTGATTTCAATAACTTGTGTACACAAAGCTACATGCCATAGCACCTTGGTAGAATTCGTCCACACTATATGAATGAATATGTTATTTTTGTTAAAGAAAACATGTCATTATTTGAAATTTTTGATAGGAATCACTCTCATAATACCCGCAATAAAAACAGTCTTCTCAATTAAATGACACGTTTTTCTTTTGTACAGAAAAATGTTTATTTTTGCAGAGAAAATACCATATTGAAACGAAATTGTGGACAATTTCCCTAGAAACAAATTCCATAACGTAAATTGAACTCAATTTGTGCAAAATAAACTTGATCTTGTAGTCTAACTCTCTCGCAACAACTCTCACTGAATGACATTCTGCTGCTAGTCTTTTACATAAGTAGTCGACATGGCAATCAAATTTTAGATTTTCATCAATGAAGAGCCCTAAAAATTTGTTTTTCTCCAAATTTTCAATTTTTACATCCACATTTGTTTTGTCGATGTTGAATGATAAAAGATTGGAATCACACCACTCTTTCACTCTTCTTATGTCGACGATGATTTGATGAAGTAAATTTGAGGTGGTATTGCTATACCAAAAGATAGTGGTGTCGTCAGCGAAACATGTGAATTTACCACTTATGTCAACGAAGACTTAGTCATTGACATAAATGAGAAACAACACCGGTCCCAAAACGGAACCTTGTGGGACCCCACTGCCAATGAAACGTTCCTCTGATGAAATTCCATGTAATAGAACATTCTGCCGCAGATCTTCTAAATCCACAAACTTCTAGTTTGCGAAGAAGTGGCATGTGGTCTACACAATCGAAGGCCTTGCTTAGGTCACAAAACATGGCCGCCGAAGATTCTCTTTCATTAAGATTGGAGTACAGGTTTTCCAGGAGTGAAAATATGGCGTCTTTTGTACCTTTTGAAGACTGAAAGCCAAACTGGAATAAATTTATTATATTGTTTTTATCGAGGAAGGATATTACTCGTTTTTTTTACCAGTTTTTCTATAACTTTAGGCAAGACGGGTAGCAAAGCAATTGGCCTAAAATTAGCTGGGTTGTCAAGATCGCCTCCTTTATGTCGAGTAATGATTGTGGCAATTTTCAGACACGATGGGAACATACCTTTGGAGAATGAGAAATTTATTGCCTCAAAGCCCTGTTAGGAAGAGTTAATTGCCCTCCTGAATAGTATTAAAGGCATTAAGAAAACGTTCATCTGCCGTCGGCGTTCGTTCCTATTGATAAGTCTGAAATGACCTTATACTAGAACAATTAAGTGCAGGTAACCAAATTTTATTAATGTTAATTCCCTCTTCCTTTCTGTTGAAATTGTAACTGAATTCCTGCTGCCTCTCTATACAGTTTTGGATAGTCACTTCGAATTCTTTGAAACACTTGTGGTCTTTTCAAATGCTATGTGGATACCTTATCAAAAGGCATGTTCTGACACTGTTGACTTGTCGATGTATCCCAGGCGACAATTTTTCCCGTATTCAGCAATATGGTTTCACGGCCGTTCGCTATAAGGCATATTGTCCGAAATTTTGTATGAAAAAGTTTGCCACCACAGGACAGGCTGTCCATTTGTTCATAGAAAACACCGTTCTACGAGAACAATGTAATAATTTTAATAACATTTGTGATAGCTTCAAGAAAATTAGGCATGCGACAAGACTGTTTGCATTTCATTGTACTCGAAGTCGTCTGTTTTTGTAGTTGGCGCTGTTTTACTTCCATATTGCTGCTATTAAAAACAAACCGACGAAAAAAAGTTAAATTCACCTCGAAACCCAGCACAGCTGAAACAAGCCCCGAGCAGGGCTTCCACAACATCCGCCACATACTTATCACCGACGTATTGACTCCCCAACAAAGGCCCCAGGCTCGCATAGCGATCCTCGTCATTTTCAGCGGACGAATCCTCATTCAGAATATTCCTCAGCGAACTTTCCGTCAAAACTCCGGTGACCTGTTCCTCGCGACTGAAACGAAGGCCGTCGAGCACATCGATGGACACCTGGCGACACTGAATCCTCTTGCGTATCTCCTGCGGCACAGAAAATCCTGGGGGCACCCAGTTTCCCTTCGGGGCCAGCTCGTTGTACCTGATCAGGCCGTTCAGACCCTTGCGGAGGGCCAGATAGTAGAGATTTTTGTTGCTCACTAGCCGTCCTTTGAGATCTGTCGCTCGGCCTTCGTCGTAGAGTGGGAAACGCTGCGATATGTAGACGGAAGCGGTGAGTTTCAAGAACGAGTCTCCCAACGTCTCGAGTCGCTCCAGGTTGACGAAGTCGTTGACATGGGCAGTCGTTAACGCCTGAAATAACCGAGTGACAACGAAGTCATTGTACACGGTTTCATACAGTTGTTTGCGGTGTAAAATATTCGAAATTTAAAATGAAGCTACGGGGGGTGGTCTGAAGAGTTTCTAACCTCAACATAAAGATAGCAGCACTCGTAAATAAAAGCTAATGTACTCAGTTGTTCATTTGTTGGTAATTACTCACCAAAGTTTCAGCCATTTTGGACGCGCAGTTGTTATATAACAGTTGTTTGAGTGATTTGATGCCACCGTGTTTATGAAAGTGGACAAAATCGAGTATCGAGCTGTCATTAAATATTTGTTTTTGAAAGACAATACGCCTAGGCAAATCAAAGATGAGTTGAACCTTGTGTATGGGCACTTTGCCACATCATTTACCACAGTGAAATTTTGGGCAGCTGCATTTAAACGTGGCCATAAGAGCTTGAGAGACTGAACATTCGGGACGTTCAAAAACTGCAACTACCGACGAAAACATCGCCAAAGCTCAACAAATGCTGATAGACAACCGCCGAATCAAAGTGAGACAGATAGCACAGGTTATGAACATGTCAAAAGAACGTGTTTGTCACATATTAAATCAACATTTAGACATGATAAAGCTGTTCGCGCGTTGGGTGCCGCGTTTGCTCACGTTAGACCAAAAACGTGTTCGAATCAACATTTCTAACGCTGTTGGCGCAGTTTAGGCCCGATAAATCTGAGTTTTGGTGACGATTGGATACACCATTATACGCCCGAAACAAAAATACAGTCCAAACAGAGGACTACAAAGGGGAAACCGGCTCCCAAAAAAGCAAAAACTGTTTTTTTCGCCTTGGAAATAGATAGCAACTGTTTTTTGGAATAAGAATGGAGTTATTTCAATCGATTATCTTCAAAAAGGAAATACCATCACAGGAGCATACTACGCATCATTACTTGACAAGCTGAAGGCAGAACTTGTGAAAAAACGGCCACATTTGCAAAAAACGAAAATCCTGTTCCACCAAGACCGTCTCACACGAATTACGGTTTGAACTGTTTGATGATCCGTCTTACTCACCAGATATAACCCCAAGCATAGTAAAAATTAACCAGTAAATTCCACCACTTTCATTCATAAATTCACAAAATTCTCGGTGACCTCGAAACGAAGTGCAGAGCCAATTTCGTTTTTTTACTATAGGCGTGCGCTCATATAAAAACGAAATTTAAGGATATTATAGAAGATTTTGTGGTAAGTTACTTATAACCAACTACAAAAACTAAAAACAATAATAACAACAGCGAATAAACTAAACACAATATAACTAATCCGATGCTCGTGGGACCGTTGAATCCTTCGATACTACAGCACTGAACGCGTTGGATGAGAATCTAATCCTAAGAGCGGTCGAAGGTCCCTGGCAACTCGGGAGGATCAAATAATAAGAAAGCCTACTGGTTGTATTATTTTACTCTGCTCCAAGAGTACTCTTTTCGTTCCCTCATCTAAAAAAATATCTTGTATCTTTGTTAGATCGGAAACTATACAGACAGACCACCCTCGTATAGTTCCTTGAAGTCAATATTTACCATAATGAAACAATTGAAAATCCCTCCTGGTTCCACGGCCGGAGACATGATTAGAAATGGTCGAATGATACTTGTAGTATCAAACGTTTCGTCTGCTACTGCGGCAGACATCATAAGCTGTATATGCTTTTACTGCAAGGACAAAGATTATATCTCAAAGTCTCAGCATTGACTGACTGGGGAGCTACGTGAACACTCGTATTTATAATTTTATAAAGAGGTGGGGGAATGGTGAGGGTTGGCGGTAGAAGTGATACCAATTAGTAATTTTGATAGGCTGAGAATGAAAGATATTGTCATTGATAACTTTTTAAACCTTTTAAAAATTCGGTGTTACTCTGGAGAGTTTGAGTGAATCTGGAAAAACACTTTATGCAGAACATTTTAGGGTCACATTCACCTTGTACACCTCAGCGAGGTCGGGACTCCGTCCGGAAGAAGCTTCTAGCAGCCGGATGGGCGGGTGAGAGAACTCCTCAATACGCTTGCGCTGCAAGCGCATCTCTTTCTGCTGAAGAGGCTTCTCTTGATTGACACGGTCGTCGTTCCTAACGCGGGTGCCCACGAAGGCTTCGAAACGCTCTACGTCGGAGATCGTGGCGGAAAGATCCTTTTCGACGTCCTTAGGCTCGTCAGAGTCCTTCCAAGGGTACATCTCCTCCAAGGTTTTCATTGACCTGTCTCTGTTGAAATGAGTTTTGGTTTCCGGAGCTCCGGAGACTACGTTGTCCGCCAAAGCAACGTCGGGGTGTTCTTCTTCATCGTAGGCAAATGCTCGATAGTCTCGCAGATTTTTGTCTGCTTGTAACACAGCGTTGTTGTGTGCTAAGTCGCCGATGAATGCCTCTTTGATGATTGTACATCTGCATTAAATTGATCTGAATAAATAAAGGGAATACACATACAGTTGGGACAATTAAAGAATACACTTGCACATGCATCATCGACAAAATACACGATAGAACACATACTTTTATAAAGAATCCCTGTCTTCTACACGTGAGAAAAAACAGCATACTGCAGAATACTGACGACTTCCCGACTTATGTGGTATATGAAAAGTTAGTCAGCAACATTCAACACGTTGCTGATGGAGGATTATAGGGAATAGGGTAATACAATAAATCATATTCTTAATCAATAAGTAAGTCTACTCGCCTGAGTTCTTCGGCTTGCAGCAGCGAATCGATCCTGAAAATCACGCTCGGCAGCAGACTGGCCTGAATCCACAACGCAGCGGGAAAGTCCTGACGTACCACTAGCTCGGTCAGAAGACGTTCCGTACTTCCCTCGTGCAACTGCTCGCGTTTACGCTTACCTTCGTGTCCTCTCGGCTTGAGAAAGTTCATGCGCCCAGTTAATCCTCTAACCGTGAGCAGAGGCGCCTCCGGGTGTGATATCCGCAGCTCCCGATGCTTCTCGAAGTAGTCCTTGAAGGTGGAGTAGTTCTCGCTGGGAAATGGCGAGAGGGAGTTTTCATCGGATCTAATAATAATAATCTTCATTTCAGTAGGATCCAAACTAATATATTGAAAAATAATAATAATACTACACACACTTTTATGTACGAATTGTTGTTTATTGACCTTATATATTCATACCCAAGCTGACATGGATAAACAAGATCAATGTCAATGCTGACTTATGCTGAATCGACATCCGGCAATACGCAGAACTTAAACGACGACACAAAAGACTATTATTTTCTTTGTTATACGATGAATACGTCCTGCGTGAGGAAATTTATTCATCAATTTCTATTTCGTCCCCTTCAAAGCAATCCTCCACAGATATAAAACACTTGTGCCAGCGTTTTTCCCAATGGAATTTGTGGTGTGTCCTTAAGCTCTCAGTGATTCAGTTTTTATCTCCTCAATCGTCGCAAAACTCCGCCCTTTCATGAGTCTCTTCGACCTTGGGACAGTAAAAGTCGCAGGGGGCCATATCTGGTAAATACGGTGGCTGAGGCATGATTGAGGTGCTTGTTTTACGAACAAGCAATGACGAGTGAAGAGGTGCATTATCGTGATGTGGTAAATGAATACTTGCTTTTCTATAGTTTGTATTGTGCAAAAAGAAGGCTGAAGTGTTGCAAATTTCGGGACTGTAGAGGGCCGTTACTCTAAAAATAAGGTAGAGCACCGATTTTTTATTTCGGACTTGTAGTCCACACGTCACAATCCAAAAAGAAGGTGCAGACTATCCAAAATTTTACCTAATATTCTAGTTGCAACTAATTCATAGTTTTTCCAACACAGTAAATACAGGTATGGTGTTGTAATAGTTTGGAAATCACCTCGTAAGACAACCATGTGTTACCAAAATCAATAATGGTGTCCTCCACGGCAGTGTCCTGGGACCAGTTTTATTAATCATCTACCAACTTTTTTGAAGACTGTGAGTTTATTAAACTCTTCGCTGATGACATACTTATAGCAATCAGTGATTAGAACCTTAACTATGCAGTTGAATACATTGAACACTCTCAAAATTACTGATAGCATCAAAGTATAGATATAAGATTTACGAGGGTGGTCTGAAAAGTTGAAGATACCAGCACTCGTAAATAAAAGCTAGTGAATTCCTTTGTCATCTGTTGGATGGATGCGCAGTTCTTACAGTTGTTTGAGTGAGTTGATATGAGTGTTTTTTATGAAAATGAACAAAATCGAGTACCGAGCTGTCATTAAATTTTTGCGTAGGCAATACGCCTACGCAATGAGCTGGATTCTGTGCATGGGGGCTCTGCACCATCATCTACCACAGTGAAACTTTCCGCAGCTGAATTTAAACGTGGCCGTAAGAGCTTGCGAGACGATGAACGTTCGCAACGTCCAAAAACTGCAACTACCGACGAAAAAATCGCCAAAGTTCATCGTATGGTGCTTGACGACCGCCGAATTAAAGTGAGAGATAGCAGAGGTTATGAACATTTCAAAAGAACGTGTTTGTCACATATTAAATCAACATTCAAACATGAGAAAGCTGTCTGCGCGTTGGGTGCCGCGTTTGCTCACTTTAGACCGAAAACGTGTTTGAATGAACATTTCCAACGCTCTGTGGGCGCAGTTTAAGCGCAATATATGCGAGTTTTGGCGCAGATAATTTACTGTAGATGAAACTTGTATACGCCATTATACCCCCGAAACAAAAATACAGTCCAAGCAGTGGACTGCAGAGGAGGAACCAGCTCCTTTTTGGTATTTGTCAAAAAAAATATATCTCTCTTTGCAACTCATGATATTGACTGTGATAACCTTGTCATTCATACATATGTGGCTATTTATATTCTTAATCAATATTAATGATATTGCCTCATGATTTTCTACTACTTCTGTAATGTTTACTGTAATTGACATGTCCTACACCTGAAAAGGTTTTTTATTACAAAGAACTAATAAAGGATATCTATCTATCTCAGCTAAAGGCAGAACTTGCGGAAAAACGGCCACATTTGAACCGTCTCACATCTCAGCGGTTGCCATGGCGAAAATCCACGAATTAGTTTGAACTGCTTGACCATCCGCCTTACTCAACAGATCTAATCCCAAGCTACTTCTTTTTTGTTCCCTCATCTGAAAATTTCGCTCGGAGGACAGAGATTTTCGTCAAATGAAGAAACAATTACCTTCAAAAACAATTATTTTGCAGAGAAAAACGCCGAGGTTAAAAGGAGAATATTAAAAAAAATCAGAAAAAAAGTCTTGTATCTATGTTTGGTCGGAAACTTTTCAAACCACCCTCGTAGCATATTTTTTTCAATTTTGTACCTGACTTCCGTCACCAAGTAGTATGCAGAATCCCGATACCAGGGGGACACTATTTTACCCACAAACTCATCGTGAGTGGTCGCCAACTCAAGCTTCTCCTCCTCTGTTGGCTCCACCACTTTCTTCACCGCAGCGTTCCAAAGCAGATTCTCTGCTAGCTTGGATCCCTTTTCCAAGGGAACCACTATCAGGGTACTAACTTCCTCTCCGTTATCAAACACCACGAAAGGATGTAAAGTCTTAAGGATATCCCCGAACACCAGCGCTTGGAATTTCCTCAGCTGTACGATCTCTTCCCTGGTGAAAGTCAGTTTTTTCTGGTTAACTCTGAGACTGGTTTTCATCTCTCCTAACGGCGTGTACAGGGGGAAATCGCACAACACTGGTAGTGGCGAAGGGGTGAGGATTCCGTACTGAAGGTTCGAGCAGTATAGATCATAGATGGCGCTGTCGTTCGGGTCAGTCGGTCGTTGAAAAAGAGGCTCAAAGTTGATTACGTGCAGATAACAAGTCGAGTTTTCTTTCAGTTGACCTCGATTGTAAGTGGTTATCTGTAAGATAATTCAAAGTTACATCCATATGGAATTTCTTTACTACAGCACTGTTAAACGGATTTCATTAAAAAAAAACCTGCAAGTAAAAATTCTCACGTGTCTTTTATGCAATCTTCTGCGTTTTGCGCTTCCAGCACCCCTTTCACGTTCAGCCGGGTAGTGGGTGAAGAGGAACTTGACATCTTCTTCTTTCGCCCTCCTCTTTATCGGTTGAAGGTGATCGTCCAATTCGCCGGCTTTATGCAGGGCTTCACAAGCTTTCAAAGCAGCTGCTCGTTTCGCTACCTTCACAGATTTCATGAAGGGGCCCTACAAATGATGAAATTTCTGTATGGAGTTACAAAAAGATAGATTAAGACAGGCATTTATAACATACTAGTTGTTTCCCGCAGCTTCGCCCGCGTAGAATTTGGTTTGCGTGTATAAGCTGTATTTATGTAAAGTTTCATGTAAATCCGTTCAGTCGTTTAGGCGTGAAAGTACGCCAGCAAGCAAGCATGCATCCATCCATCCATCCATCTTCACAAACTTTAAAATTTACATTAGTATACAGGCTGATTCCCGGTGGATGGCACATTAGACGTTTCTGGTGAACCAGACAACGGATCACTTTGAAAATTTAATGGAGGGCATATTCGGATCGGACATTCTCTAGCCAACTAAAATATTTTCGACAATGCGGTGTTGCCGCTTCTATTAGAAAGCAGTAGCAACTTTGATTTTTCAAATGGAACACTCTGTATATAATATTTGGTTTGGAATCTCCAACAATTGCCCGACAACTTTTCTTGATATTTCCCTATACCTATCTGTTACCGTTTTCGAAATAAAAATTAATTTCAATTTTTTTCTTCGAAAATCATGACTTCTAAAAATGCCGATATCTTTTAGTTAAGAAGTACTATGATATCGAAATTTGGTTTGGAGTTAGGTGATACTTGGACACTTCCCACACGTCAGCCTAATCTCCGTTACTTCAATACAGGGTGGTAAAAAAATACAGTTTTTTCGTTTGCTTGAAAAAGTTGCTG